TCCCACTCAGCCGGGTCACATCCCATACCTCGCAATGCGCCCCAACACGCAGCCGCCCACTCACCTTTCACTGCATTAAACGGACTGCATGAATTGTAAGCAGGGGGGGGGGGCGGTCTTGTGGGCTATTGTCAGAGCAAGAGAGAGAGCAGGGGCGATCCATTCATCTCGAAAATGACCCTAACTCAACGAAAACAATGTCCTGTGTTTTTTTTTTTTGTAAACGGAAGGTTTGTTGCCAAAACAGGGCCGGTTGTATCTTCGCTGGAGCCTTAGCGATGTTGGTAATTTTGATAAGTTTTTGCAGACTATGTATTCCGTTAGAGGTAAAGAGTGGTGCTACATATATTGTAAAAAAAGAGATCCCTTCGTCGATCTACTGCTGGATGGAGACCTTCCCACGTTGTGTCAGTCGTGCAGTTGTCTGACCATACTTCACCATACACTGGTCAGTACTAGTTGGTGAAAAGTGGTAACCGGGGAGCTCAGGACCGGTTCAGATGTGACTCGCCATTGATGTTATCCGTGGGTTTAAATAGTCCAAGTTAATTTACAAAAGAAATACATAAAATACGCTGTGATAGCGACATGACAACAGGAACGGTTCTGAAAAATGTGTCGTTATAAATCAACACGCCTTTGAAGTTTGAGTCTTGAGGACAAAAATACTTTTGTTTGAGGAATGCCGTTCGCGTATCCTATCTCCAACGATTCCATTTACAGACGCCACTGGACACCCAGGAAAACCACCACGAACTCTTGTGAGAGACAGCAGCCACACTTTGTGCCACGAAAGGACAACGTTGTAAAAAAAACTTTTAAAAACACCAAACAATGCAACGCATTCCGCGGTTATTAAAACGTGTCAAGAACAACATTTACAATATCTGACACGTATAATGGCAGCCCGAGGCTTGCTTCCTTGACCTTTTAGGTTAACCTATAAGGCTATCACCTCAATACATCTGGTAGGAATTTTCTTTGCTCAAATCAGTGAACTAAGCCAATTTGAAGTCTTAACCTGTCTGCTGTCGGCAACAATTTCTTAAAACACCATGAAGCAAACGGATTCCCAAAACTCCAGTCCATGCGAACCAGCAGCATCGAATGTGGATCTCGACAAATGCAAACGAAGCATGGGTCGCAAGCGACTCGTGAAAAAAAATAGGGGTGAGCCAAATATCAGTTCCAATTAAAATCCTAATAAACATACAAGAAGTGCATTCACATAAAGAGAACATGAAGTGTAAAGAGAAAATTAACATAAAATGGAAATGCGTTCATCCCTATCATATCTGTATCTGTCTTCCCTCATTTAACTCCATCTTTGTATCTTGTCGATTTCTCTCATTTTACTACATCTGTCTCAACTCTGTCTCTTCTTTAGTCCTCTCTTCAGCTCTGTATTTTGTCTAAACCTATCAGACATCCAGTAAATGTCAATTTCTTGCCTATATTTCCCATCATATTGCTCATTTGGAAATGGAGAGGCCGAAATATTATGTCTGCTTTGGGCCTCCAATGGGCCAATACCTCCACTGCCCAGCATTCAGGATTACATTTGTGATCTTCTTGGTTAATACTGTACATATGTAGTCAATTAACACACTGCGCGCACCTTATGATTGCTCAACACATACCACGTGGCGTATAGTGCGCACACATGCACGTACACACGTATGCATACACTATTTCTTAGTTTAAATTAAATCAGCAATCAATACATGCAAGGTACAGACACGATTTCTATGTTAATCGATGCTTTCTGCATCACGTGGTGCATATACACGCATGAATATATAATGAAAGAGGTTGAATCAATGGCAAGGGCGTGTGGTGGGGTAAAGTGTGGGTACTTTCCATCACCAATACACATCTTCCAAGACTTCCGGACAGCACGCAGTAGGCCAACATTCCCTCGAGATGGGCTCTCTAGATCTGTCTAAATTTAAGGTACTTCCACCTATGAGCAATTGCAGGGCTGCGCCTTCATCCCCATATTTATAAAAAGGAAATTTGTGAATGTGTGTCTGTTCAAAATGTTTAGCGTACTTCCCGACATGCAACAAACTTGAAATTTGCCATGTGGGTACTTTCCAGAATGTACACCATGCAAAAATTATTAAAATACACTTTTGTGTTTTTTTTATTTGGGGGGGGGGGGGGGGGGGAGCTCAATAATGTATATATTTTTTGCACGGCAAGTGAACTGTGACGTCAAACTGTCATGTGACCCGCGCATGTCGAAGCGAAACGCATTGTAGTGTAGTGGTTAGCGCGCCGCGCTGGTGTGGTGTGTGAACATTGCCACTGGGGGGACAAAGGCGGCCGGGCGTGGTGAATCCAAGTCCCGGGCGAAGCCGGGTAGAAAAGCTAGTCTTGTATATATGTACGCGTTCATCGGAGGAAATCTCAATATAGGGGGAATATTGATTATGGCTAAAGACAGAGGCTCCTGTCAATTCACATATTGGCCAGTGTTTTCACCAGATTGTTGGTGACAATGTTCCAATGTGCCCTTTGCCGATGTGTTTTTGGCAGGTTGGTCAAGATGTGAATCTGGCATGGTTTAACCTGCTTAGTACATTGACGGGAGGGACCCCCCTGCTAATATCAGGCGTGTGCTGCGAGGTGGTCAGTATTTAGCAGTACAAACATGGACTATTGCATCTTTCTGTGCGGAACTTTGAGTGGTACCTTCTCGTATGTGTGGATCTTCTACAAACTCCAAGCTTCCTCCCACATGCCACAAACTCGTGAACGGATTTGCCAGACATCCATCCCAATGGAGGGCCGTCTTCAGACTCGGTGCAATATCATGAATGAGGTTTTATTTCATTACATTTCTTAAAATTCCTATCGAACAGCGCAGGGCACGCAGTCTAGATATCAGATACATATTTAAAAGTCAGATACACAGATCTCACATACATATCTATAAGTCAGATACACAGATCTCAGATACATATATATGTCAGATACACAGATCTCAGATACATATCTGCAAGTCAGATACACAGATCTCAGATACATATCTACAAGTCAGATACACAGATCTCAGATACATATCTATAAGTCAGATACACAGATATCAGATACATATCTATAAGTCAGATACACAGATCTCAGATACATATCTGCAAGTCAGATACACAGATCTCAGATACATATCTATAAGTCAGTAGTCAGATACACAGATATCAGATACATATCTACAAGTCAGATACACAGATATCAGATACATATCTATAAGTCAGATACATAGATCTCAAATACATATCTACAAGTCTCCCAGCAAAAATTCAACTTTCGTTCAACGTTGCACGTTTACTGGTCTGTGCCAGTACTTAGTTTTGCATCGAGGTTTGCGTCTCTTTTTTTTAAGAAACACAAAAATAACTTAAGTGAGTAAAATATGACTGCCTGCCCACCTGCCCTCGTTTTACCGGGACAGTCCGTGAATTGTCATCCCTGTTCAGGTGGCAACAGCTGATTTGTTCTGATCTCTGCACGGCGATACGGTGCTCAGCTTTATCATGGCATACTGCAACAGCTTTGACAGACATAACGTGATTTAAAGCTTTCGTGACTGCAGGGATTCATCTTCTTGGTTCTTTCGGTAAAGTCACGTAGAAGAGAAATATTAAAATAATAAAAATATAACGTAATAACATAAAAAATTCTCACGACGTTTCGGCCACAACACAAGCAGCCGTCCTCAGGTGAAGAAACAGAGCTGTCGGAAAGACAGCAGAAGTGTCCTCTGTGTCTTTCTGACAGCTGTTTCTTCACCTGAGGACGGCTGCTTGTGTTGTGGCCGAAACGTCGTGGGAATTTTTATTTTATTATGTTTCAGTTTGTATTACTTTATTTCCCTTCTACGTGACTTTACCGAAAGAACCAAGAAGATGAAGACCTAACGTGGCTTGAGAAATGTGTCCGGGTTTGGTCTGTTGCAAAAGCCTGCAGCGAAAGTCCATATTTAATACACGAAAAACCTGGTCTTGACACAGCTGTAAACCCAATACGGTGAACTCGTTTTGTAGTACAGGGGAAATTGAGTTGTAGAGTCCATACGGCATGCAGACGTTTCAATCCCTTACAACAAAACATGTCTATGTGTTTGCGTTTCTCCCTTGTGATGGGACTTTGTAGTATGAAGGTTGAGATGTATAAGGACACGGGGTGACCAATACGGTCTGAATTGGTCTGTTAAAAAGGTCGGCACTGAGAAGGGGCTGACAGGTTTTGCAATGAACTACTATACACTGCACTAAACACTACTAAACATTACACTACTATACCTGTTAACCCAGTTTACCCCGTATTCTTGTACAGGGAAATTGCGTTGTCAGGTCCATACGGTGTACAGCCGTTTCAATACGTGCAAAAAAAACATTGTCTATTTGTGTTTCTTCCTTGTGATGGGACTTTGTAGGATGAAGGTTGATATTTATATGGGCACGGGGTGACCAATACGGTGTGAAGTGGTCTTTAATAAGTTAGTGCGCTGATAAGGAGTTGAGAGGTATGGGGTCCATGTTAACACACGTGGCATTGGAACCTAATAATTCGGCGAAACGATTACGTGGTGAAAAAGAGTTTAGTATAATTCATTATTAAAAACACGCGATAATCCCCGTGCCGTGTTAATGTAAAGCAAAAGAAGTAACTTTGAGAGTTGTTTTCATTAAGGTGTCAACACAAACGCCGCTGAGCTAAACAATGTCCATCGTGAAGCATGCAACACGATAACAGCCCGCTCAGTACTTCTCATCACATTCACCCACCGCCGATTCCACACCGATTAAAAAACACATTCATGATGTAAATGACACACAGACAACCCCATACTGTAAACATAACTTTCTTGATTAACGCAAAAACAAACAAACAAGAAATCGTCTCTGTTATTCGCTTCATTGACGTATTTCCCCCCCTTAGTATTATATCATTCTGCGACGAAAGCGCAACGACCCAATTGACCGCCAAGTCTTCGTCGTCGTGGTAGCGGGCAGCATGGCGCCTTACACAGGCAACTTCGACTTGGAGAGCGAGGTGTGTGCCACGGGAAACATCTCCGTGAAGAAGTTCCGCTCCAGGGAGTCGGGCCTCACCGTCTGCCTGGCCGACGTCGAGGGCCCACTGGTCGGCGGACACTTCTGCCTGGGTGAGGCTCGCGACAGCCGTGACGAATTACGCCGGGACTGGCGGGGAGCTTCTCTGGTCTGCGGCCTAAGTCGGTGGTGGTGGTTGTGGTGGTGATGGTTGTGATGGTGATGGTGGTGATGGTTGTGGTTGTGGTGGTGATGGTGGTGGTTGTGGTGGCGGTGATGGTTGTGGTTGTGGTGGTGATGGTTGTGGTGGTGGTGATGGTTGTGGTGGTGGTGATGATTGTGGTGGTGGTGATGGTTGTGGTGGTGATGGTGGTGGTGATGGTTGTGGTGGTGGTGATGATGGTTGTGGTGGTGATGGTTGTGGTGGTGGTGATGGTTGTGGTGGTGGTGATGATTGTGGTGGTGGTGGTGATGGTTGTGGTGGTGGTTGTGGTGGTGATGGTTGTAGTGGTGATGGTGATGGTGGTGATGGTTGTGGTTGTTGTGGTGATGGTGGTGGTGGTTGTGGTGGCGGTGATGGTTGTGGTTGTGGTGGTGATGGTTGTGGTGGTGGTGGTGATGGTTGTGGTGGTGGTGATGGTTGTGGTGATGGTTGTGGTGGTGGTGATGATTGTGGTGGTGGTGATGGTTGTGGTGGTGGTTGTGGTGGTGATGGTGGTGGTGATGGTTGTGGTGGTGGTGATGGTTGTGGTGGTGGTGATGATGGTTGTGGTGGTGATGGTTGTGGTGGTGGTGATGGTTGTGGTGGTGGTGATGATTGTGGTGGTGGTGGTGATGGTTGTGGTGGTGGTTGTGGTGGTGATGGTTGTGGTGGTGATGGTTGTGGTGGTGGTGATGGTTGTGGTGGTGGTGATGATTGTGGTGGTGGTGATGGTTGTGGTGATGGTGATGGTTGTGGTGGTGGTGATGGTTGTGGTGGTGGTGATGATTGTGGTGGTGGTGATGGTTGTGGTGGTGGTGATGGTTGTGGTGGTGGAGATGGTTGTGGTGGTGGTGGAGATGGTTGTGGTGGTGGTGGTGATGGTTGTGGTGGTGGTGATGATGGTTGTGGTGGTGATGGTTGTGGTGATGGTTGTGGTGGTGGTGATGGTTGTGGTGGTGGTGATGATTGTGGTGGTGGTGGTGATGGTTGTGGTGGTGGTGATGATTGTGGTGGTGGTGGTGATGGTTGTGGTGGTGGTGATGGTTGTGGTGGTGATGGTTGTGGTGGTGGTGATGGTTGTGGTGGTGGTGATGGTTGTGGTGGTGGTGATGATTGTGGTGGTGGTGATGGTTGTGGTGATGGTTGTGGTGGTGGTGATGGTTGTGGTGGTGGTTGTGGTGGTGTGGTGGCGGTGGTGGCGCGCTGTGAATGTATGCTGATGGGTGTTGGTGATCATGTTGTTGCTGGTGGTGATGGTGGTGTTGTTTGTAGTGGTGTTGATGATTGTTGGTGATGGATGGTGACGGTGGTGGTGTTGGATGTTGCTGGTGATTGTTGTGAGGGTGAAGATGTTGCTGGTGGTGATAGTGTTGATGGTGTTGATGATGTTGATTGTGGTGATGTTGGTGGTGATTGTTGTGATGGTAGAGGTGTTGCTGGTGGTGGTAGTGTTGATGGTGGTGACTGGATGGTGGTGATTGTGGTGGTGTTGATGTTGCTGGTGATTGTGGTGATGTTGGTGGTGATGCTCTTTGATCATGGTGCTGGTGTTGGTGGTAGTCATGACACTGTTGATGATGATGATGCTGTTTACTGGTGATAGTGATGCTGTTGGTGGCGTTGATGATGGTGTTGATGATTATGCTGGTTGATGATTATGGTGTTGGTGATCTTGATGTTGATGATAGTGGTTATGTAACTGATGATGGTGATGCTGCCCGTTATGTTGTTGGTGGTAATGCTGATGATGATGATGATGGTGGTGATGATAATGATTGTTGTGCTGCTCTTCCTAGTGATGACGATTAGGATGCTAATGATGGTGCTCATGCTAATGTTCATGATCATGATGGTTGTGATAGTAGTGCTCATGTTGTAAATGTTGCTGGTGCTGACACTGCTGCTACTGTTGTTGATGATGTTGGTGATAATGATGTCGGTGCTCTTGTTACTGATGATGGTGGCCGTGCACTTCCTGATGATGATTATTATGGTAGTGATGGTGCTGAGAATGTTCATGGTGATGGCAGTGATGTTAGTATCGGTGTTACTTCTGCTGGTGGTGCTGGTTATGTTACTGGTGGTAATGATGCTGATAATGGTGGTGATGCTGTTTCTGATGATGGTGGTCATGGACTTCCTGATGGTGGTGGTGATGGTCCTGAGGATGTTAATGGTGATAGTAGTGATGCTGGATGTAATTACCAGCGAAACATTCGTATTAAAATTGTGAATGTTGTAGATTTACGCTCCAACACACCGGTGGGCTGAAGTAGTAACTAATTGGCGCGTTGTTTACGTGACAAACCTTACTGGCTGTATCAGGTGGTGGAGGTTACGACACATTTCAGATATAATATTTAATAATATTGGTGGCTAAAGCCTACTGTTAAACTGAGTAGTGATGTTAATATCGGTGTTACTCCTGCTGGAGGTGCTGATGATGGTGCTGATGCTAATGATCCTGATGGTGATGTTGATTATTGTGGTGAACGGTCTTGCCACATAAATTTGGCTCGATTAGTATCTGGCCTAATCCAAAATTGAATTATTGTTAATTAATTGCAATGTTGTGTTGGATGAGAACTATAACCGATTCCAGAAGTTGACAAACATCAACATTGTGACAAACTATTAGGATGCCAGCAAATTTCCCAAAACTATGCCATGTCTCCACCACACAGTGACCACTCACAAAATGACTTCATTATCCAAATAAAGTCCTCTTATTTTTTTTATTTCACGCACTTATTCGTGGAATTGTTTGCTGTTTTTTACGGACTTAATTTTTTTCCCTCCAATTCTGCATTAAGACGTGCACTTGTGTTTCAGCAACGGAGGCTTACGATGATGATGGCCTGCCCCACACCTTGGAGCACCTTGTCTTCATGGGCAGCGAGGAATACCCGTACAAAGTGAGAGAACACTGACACTGCGCTTACTGAATTCTTTATGTCATATTGCAATATTCAGGGCTTTGCAAATCTATTGCTGGATGAAGGCATCTCCACCCCACATTGGTTGGGTTTGTTTGGCCATATTGGCACCATGCTGGTCAGCGCACATTCGGGAATAGAGTGTACCAGGATCCGGTTCATATTTAAATCGCCACTCAAGTTATCCATGACAAGGAGTCAAACTGAGGTCACCAGCTTCATAGCACTTTGTAGGAACTAATACACCATCGTAACCCACCCAGCACTCTTTACATGACGTCACCTTTTTTTATTTAATCTTAAAATGATAATTGAAAAGTTAAGTTTTAACTAAAAATAAAATGTGTATCATATTCATATACCATGATAAAACTATTGCTGTGGTAATTGAGGAATATTCACATTGATGGTCCTGCATAACCTAACATTATAAAAACATTACATATTTACACATGTATCAAAATGTGTCTGAGATAGCTGCCATTCTTACCATTTAGCGAAGTTGTGAAATGTAATGCAAAGGTGTGAACTTTATGACATTTGTCATAACATAACACTGTAATAGTGTGCGCCGTTTTATTTTACACACAGTACATATACATGGATTTTGTTGCATTTTCTGACACTTGAATGCAATACGTATCCCATGTTGGTGTTGAAGGCACTGCGATAATGTTTTCCTGTTCATGTGCTGTAGGGTGTCTTGGATCTCCTAGCAAATCGGTGTCTGGCGCAAGGAACAAATGCATGGACAGACACCGATCACACGTGTTACACCATCACGACGGCTGGGAGTGAGGGTTTTCTCAACCTGCTGCCCATTTACCTGGACCACATTCTTTACCCGACACTGACGGTAACCAGTTACACGTGAACATCTTCGTAATTCTAAACGTCATTTGTCTCTCATCCAGCCTATGAGTCATATTACGCGTGTTATTTTATGGCATAACAAGGCAAGTAAAGACTCGTTCTAACCAGAAGGCACCAGGAACCTATTGTATCCATGATGAATTATGTGCAGCGTATGGCATTTAACCGAGGTAAAATAATACAACTCCAACGGTTTTTGTCAAAATAGTAATATTTACGTTAATATATGTGATGTGAATGTTTGTGGTGACTGGTTGTTGGAGGGAAAATCCCAATAAGGCTTCACACCACTCATGCCTTGCAGTCTTTTTGAGAATTGCAGATGAGAAAAATATTCTCCCCGTCTTAAGGATCAACTGGTGTTAGCTCAGTAACATTGATAGCCCATGCACATATATGTAAAGAAATAGAATGTTGTCAATCCACTGCTGGATGATGGCCTTCCCACGCCGCGTGGGTCGTTGGAGTTACTTTACCCTACTTCACTGGTTGGTGCTGGTTAGTGAAGCCGGGGAATGCATACGTGGGGTTATTAAATTATAGTACAGCATTCAAATGTTCTGCAGTACCCTCTGCTGCCCACCATGTAGCCCCACGACCTTTAGCAGCCTCTTTGTGCATGGTGGTCACCCATCCACGCACTATCCAGGTGCACTTCTGCTTAGCTTGCGAGATCTGCCAAGATCGGGAACATTGTGTTTGATTTGGTCAAAACAGCTTGCTGACACTTATCAAATAAATGTACGAAAAAGGAAATGGTACCTTACGTCTGATTTTGTCTCTTTTACATTTTCCGTTGTGGTGCGCAGGAATCCAGCTACATCACGGAAGTGCATCACATTAATGGCGATGGGGAGAACGCCGGCGTCGTTTACTGTGAAATGCAGGCTCGAGAGAACACGGGAGAGAGCCGCACGCATCGTGCCATGCTTAATGCCATGTACTCCGGTCGCTGTGGGTACAAAGTGAGAAGTGCACATATTTGCTTGGAATCACGGGAATGTTGACATTTTCCTTTTCGTCTGTTTGGTGTTAAATCGTGGCCGCATGTTTGTGTCCTTGCAGTCAGAAACCGGCGGGATGCTAGAGAACCTCAGGATGAGCACCTCGCATAAAAAGGTCAGCGCGCGAAATGCAACGTTCCATTCGTGTCACTTTTATTCCTGAGGCCCATGTGGAAGTGCTGATATTTCTAATAATGCTTGGCAGGTATGCGACTACCACCGCACGTTTTATCGGCCCGAGAATCTTTGCCTCATCATCACGGGCCAGGTGGACCCTGAAGAAGTTTTCCGGGCTTTGGATCTCACCGAACAAAAAATTAAATCAAAGGTGACTTCTTACCACTTCCTACGTCATGTATAAAGACACACATACAGACAGTCGTGACGAATGCACGTTTTAATGATGTTCCAGAAGGCCTAGATAGCTTATGTCTGGTACAATTTTTTTCCAGTATATTCGTATTACGAGAAATGTTTGTAAATGAAAACATGTTTTTGTGCCCCCAAAAAGAATCTTAAACAAATTTGGGATTTTTTTTATTTTTTTATTTTGGAGTGTTTTGAATGGTGCTGAATGAATATATATAGTCAGGTAATGGATACTTTTATTGGGTACTTTTATTTTTGAAAGGTACTGATAACATTCGGGGCGGGGGGGGGGAGAAATAACGTATTTTTGTTGTTGAACCAAGGCCATCGCAACTATGTGGGTTGGAGTGGGCTAGCGCGATTGTGAATCTATATCAAATCTTCAATAATGCATCATTAGTGAATCAAACAATTAGCTCCTGTGGAGTGTGACACTAAAACTGAATGAAAGCAGGTGAAGCCCATTACTGGATACTTATTTTAAGCCAACGTCTATATTTTAACTTTTTTGTAAAGACTACTAGAAGTTGTTTTTCGACAAATGTATTATCGTTGCTGAATTAAGCGATTTCTGTTGATGTTCCAGGAACCCCTGCCACCTCACGTGCGTCCTTGGCAGTCCTCTGTTCCTGAGTTTACAGACTTAACAGAGTCTGTGGTGCGATACCCAAGTGATGATGAGACAACCGGCATGGTGACCGTCGCCTGGCGGGGTCCATACGCCAAGGTGAAAATCTTGCGTCCTCATAAACATACTCTTAGGTTTTTTCGGTAAAGTCACGTAGAAAAAAATAATAAATAATAAATAAATAATACATTTTATAGAAATAATAATAGAAATAACATAATAAATCACGAAGTTTCCGCAAAAATTATTATTTATTTATTATTATTTATTTTCACCTACGTGACTTTACCGATGAAACCTAAGAGTATGAATCCTTGCAGTCACGTAAGCTTCAAATCCTCATAAACACTTGAGATTGACCACGCCAATATGTGTATATTGGCGTTGGCAATTGTATCCTGAAGGAAGACAAACCCATCCTGAAGGAAAACAAACTCCAAATTAGTCATGCAAATAATCCTTTGTAGAAATGTCATAGGTTGTTTGAATTTTGCTATCAAATGTAGAGTTGAAGCTATGTTAATGGGAAAAAAAACACTTCAAAGTTTCAGTCAAGAATGTCATTATGCAACCGATGTTTGAATGCAACATCAATGCAGAGATTGCTACGACTCAGCCCCTGGTTGTGAACGTAACGTTTTGTCTCTCTACCTAAGTGTCATCTGTGCTTCGAACAGTGTAGAAAATATAGCCTTGGTACGTTTCGACAATATAAGAGCTATTGTTTTTTTCGCGTTGCCTATATGCTTCATTGCACATGTACTTAGTGAACACATTGGACAAGGTGTCGAGAGGCCGCTGTTTAACGGCCACTCGCTTGTTTCCCCACGCACGTACAATGTAGGATCTGTACAAGATGACTGCCATCGCTACGCTTATGGAGTATTTGAGCGATACGGCCATATCTCCACTCCAGCGGGACTTGGTGGAGATCTCGGACCCGTACTGCAACAAGGTACCCTACCTTAGACCTTTGACCTTATTCTTTCTTGCACTCGACAGAACATCGGGCAAAACAGCTTAGAATATAACTTGTGGTTTTTCAACTAACTAAGCTGTGTCGTCCAATGAAATTCCAGTGACCTCAAATCACGTAATTACATGGCAAAATTTGTTTTCTTAATGCCCTCCACCACCCGACATGGCGTGTACATGTGTTTAACGAGCCAATTATTACTTTTTGGCTCACGGGTAAGTTGAAGAATAATTTTCAAAACCAAATTTCGCACTCGGATACAACATTTGCTGGACGCCACATCGAGCATCATCAGGATAAGATTCCGGAATTCAGAATTATAATATAGGTAGTCAGACTAATGATGTTACCTGACCCGGCTTTTTAAATAGGGTTCTTAAACAGGTGTCTTTACCACACTGGAAGGACCAATCATTCACATTGGATATTAACCATTAAATATTAATTCCAATTCTTTGGGTCTTTCGGTAAAGCCACCTAGATAGAAAAAATAGTCATAATAATAACAATATAATTTTTTCTATCTGTGGCTTTACCGAAAGACCCAATGAATATGAATTCCTGTGAATATAATTTGTGAAAACCTACTTGTTAAGTTGTCGATTTTGTCTCTCCAATTCTCTCTTGGTCTTCCTCTTTTTCCGTCGTTGAAAAATTACTCGCTGTGTTTATCGACAGTCAGATTCTACAACCTTTTAACTTCCCAGTAGATAACTGTGAACTTATGACCGTAACAAAGCATTTCAGCCCGAGGTACGGTATTGACAAATTTGCCCCAAAGGCACTGCAAATGCACCGGGGTGTTTTTGTACACGCTGTCTGCATTTTTCATGTTATAGCCAAAAGCTCTATGCCGGCTGAGGCTGCATCGTAGTACAGCAGCAGTGTGGTGTATTGTCATGAAGTCACTCATGTAGTGTATGGAGTGATGGCCTCTGTGGTTAGTCGACTGCTCGGTGAAGCTGGTGCCCTTAGTTTGATTCCTCGCCACGGCTAACATGATTGGCGAAGGATATCTGGCACTGGACCTCTCCCCCCCCCCAACTCCCTTTTCACCAACCCGCACTGACCAATGTGGTGAGGTATGCTCAAACAACCTCCGTGACTTGTATGGGAGTACATTTATATTATTTAAAGCGAGGTACTTTTTTTTTTTCAAAGAGGAAAATTTCATACAGTGTGCATTAATGGGTGTAACGATTCTGCCCCCTTCTGCTTCAACGAATTGCCTTGAATTATGGCTGGGGTTCATCTTCTTGGTTCTTTCGGTAAAGTCACGTAGAAGGGAAGTAATAAAATAATAAAAATAAAACATAATAAAATAAAATAATTCTCACGACGTTTCGGCTACAACGCAAGCAGCCGTCTTTAGGTGAAGAACCGTCTTCAGGTGAAGAACCTTCTTCACCTGAAGAACCAAGAAGACGAATCCCTGCAGTCACGAAAGCTTTAAATCGAAATTATGGCTGGGGTTCAATGCAAGACTCATTTTATTTGTACAATGTGGTGTGGGAGAGCCCATTGCATACGACATGCACACATTTCAACAATGTCGAGTCTTCCACATGCGCTCTGACGCTTGTATCGCGAGTTTCAGATTTGACATAAGTTGACGCATTGTAATACCCTCCCAAAATTCTCGATGAAAGTCATAATATCTGGGGTTCCTCCTGCAGGTGACCCAAAACAAAACACGCTGAGACACATTCGACATTCTGCCTCGGTCTGCTGGTAAAGATTCTGTGATTGTCAGTGCCAGTATTTGAGGGTTTAGCTTAAATCACCTATCAGTCTTTGTCTGGCATCTGGCATTTTGCCAAACTGCATTTACAAATGTGCAGGAATGTACACTCTCACTGTAATGTGAGCCCGTATATGCCTTTAAATACCCAACGGTCACAATTATCACTGCACATGATATAATGACTGGATCTAACAACTCCGGTAATTAACTGTTGAAAAATCCACAGTCGTGCATTTTAACTTCTGGATGAAAGGATTTGTCATTTGAAAGGTGTCATTATCATGGAGTATGCTTTACATTTTAAATCAGTAATTAAAACTCTTCATTAAAACAGTTGTGATAATGTAATTAGGCACTCTCCTGAGAAACGTAATAAACCCTGAGTTTATGGACTTTGGAAGTGTCGCTTGCTGGCATGTGCTAGACACTTTCATAGATGTGTGGCAGGTTTTAGGTAAACGGTAGACAGCTCCGTGATGTATCAGTAACTGGACACGCCTACATGCATCTGGAGGGGTTATATGCTCTATTCTGACACTGATGATGCACTGTATACCCCGAGGATAGTGGACATTCCATCGTCTTTTGGTTATTTCTTTTGTACGTTAACTTGTTAAACATTTGCAGGTAAAAAAATTCAGTGGTGTCAACCGTTCATGCGATACAACTATTTACGTGAGCTTTAATGCAGCTTCCATTCATTCCTGCTGAATGTTATTTTGCCATTGTGAAAGTTATTGGAATTGTAAACATAGCGAGTGTCGTGTCGAATGTCACGTGAGTGTTCAACGTTGGGCTTAGTTCGGTTAACATAAACAAGGAGTCAGATCGGATACGAAAGTCGTTTTCAAGAGGGGAGAGACAAAAAGTTGTGATGACTGGTAGTTTTTTTTGGTGTTGAAATGTTATTTTGTTTTCTTTCACCGGCATAGGTAGGTGGTCCTTGTGTACTCGCCGCTGCCCGCAGTAGAGAGAAAATCCTCTTAGATTTTCACTGTAGGTGATTTATTTGATGCCGCGGTAACAAAGTGATGAATGTCAGCACCGGTTGGCTTGCGGCCATTGGCTTGACATAGCACGGCGAGAGGTGGAAGGGACATCAATCACATAATCAGCATTGGTAGCGGTTGCACGTTCCAGTCTTTGGGGCATTTTTCACTCGCGCCCCCTTGCCGTCCTCCTTGTCTTCAAAGTTGGGACAATCGGCGCCCTTCTGCGAGCGGTTTATCTCTCGAGGTGGGGGTTTTCCGAGCGCTGCGGCGATCTCGAGTCGTGTGGGTTTTTTTTATTCTGCAGCTGAAGAATACGACTTTTGCCTTTATATAGGATTACCGACGGGGCGATCTCGGCAAAGATAAGTGCTGATTGAGGATTTACAGTGTACAGTATTTTCCTTCGCTTTTCACCCGAGGGCCATTCCTGAGCCTCGCACGATCGCACCGCGAACACCGAGCACGGCAAAGGTTACACGCTAGGTCACAGATGCGGTGCTTTTCCCTCGTGGGAACCCAATGCAAACACGGCGAGTTTGTTTTTTCGTGTTGCAGTTTTGACTTGAGTGACCTACGTGCGAAAAAATGAAAAAAATACAAATCTAATTGTTTTTTTATTGCCCAATGAAAGACAAAAAAATATCTAAATCACAGTACAGTAGTAGTTGCTCATATTGTTTGAGATTTTTGTGATGTTAAACTTATGGATTCCGCGTAGGTTTTGAGGGTTGTGCTGTACAGCCCGACTCAGGCCGTATAGCGTGTCATTCGGCGCAATGTCCGACGTTTTGCTCCATGTCCTTGGAGCACCTCCAGGAACTGAACAATCAGAAACAAAAATTTGGAGAGCTATGTTTTTGGTTATATCCCCAACATGATCGATACATTTGAAAAAAATGCACTCATCTTAAATTTTTTTTTATATATGTTTAACTCTTCAATTACCTGCTCCGTAATCTAAGATGCTATTCATGTACCATAACAACTAAATTGATTATCCAATTTGTCCAATCTTAATTAAGGCATTTCATGAACTCCGTACTAAACTTTGTATGGAATCACTCATGATATAATTTTCACTAGCATATAAAACACCAAAAATGTCTTCCTTTGTGGCGATGTAAATGTATAATCAGGCTGTTATAATTTTACTGTATTTGCATTTGAACGCTTGCATTATGTCTGTAAATTACTCTGTTGTGTTTAGCGGGTTTTGTTCCCACTATTAATGGCACTAAAGTGACCGAATAAATACAGTCTAGGCAAGAGAAAATCCATCGGCACTTTATGATTTTTCAGAAAATAACCATGACAATGAGGGCTTTTATATTACATTAATGTTATTTGTTGAACACACGCATTGCAGGTGTGTTACAGTACAACTCTACATCTGCGTGGACTTGGCCAAATTGTCACTTCTATGAAATGTTACTACTTACTATTCACTGTTAGCGTTTACTTGGCCTTGGGCATTAAGACAGTCTTAATATGCTGTCCTTGCCTCGTATGCCTCACATTTGTGTGTATTGTCAAACGTGATATTGGATATTTTTGCAATACGATAATGAACGTCAGGAGAAAGTAATTTTCTGCGTACATGTTGTATGGACAGCCCTTTTGTCAATTTACCAAGCCGTGCCGATCGTAGCGGCTATTCGATCATACTTCACAGCCATGGTAATAGTGCGTTGGTGAAGGCGAGGGCATAGACGTGGGATCGTATTATTGTGCAAGAGTGGATATTACTGCAGTGCCCTCCACTGCCTGCCATGCAGCCTTGCAGTTTATATATAAAAAAAAACTCAATTGTGCGTGATCACTTATACCAAGCTATATCCGGGCTCAGCCCTGATCAGCTTCCTCACCCTCATGAGATCGGGCGTACTCCCGGGTTGATTTGGTCACGGGCGTTATCTCGTACAATTTCTATTTTACATGAAGTTTATTTCACTCGACCGTTTGCCCCGTCGCATTTCAGGCACGTGTTTTAACGTTATCAGGATAAACCCATGGTGTAAACGGTGATACTGTCTAAAAGCTTAATATGTCGTGCGCGCGGATACGTAAAATGGAAAAGTGTTGAAGTTGCACGTGAATTGATCACCCGTTTAGCTTCGGAGCCCATGCGGTTTCCTACCAGTGTTTTAAAATCACCGTTTCCCTCGTCTGTTGGCACAGGTGGGGTGCAATATCCTCGAGAACAGTGTTGGCTGTGTCTACATAAAGTGCTGCAATGTGCCTTTCCCCAAACTGAACGACGTGAAGGAAAAGTAAGTGCCTTGTCATAAATGCATACCTATCTCCATGGCAATCGTGTGCGTGTGCGCTGTGCGCGTATTCGTTTGCGCAAGCGCCACTGTGTATCACATCCTGTCTTCTAGGAACACTCTTCGAAACAATTCTGTCAAAGCTGTTGAATAAAATTTCCACTCTTTGTAGCGAATAGGTCAGCGGTGAACAAGATGCGAGAATGAAGCATTGCCGTCGCGACATCGCCGAATTAGGTTTAGTGTTCCAACCGGAGCCCGTGGCTCTACGTCCCACGCGGCGGTCTTTGAACGGCGCTTACGCAATTAGTCTTTGCGGCGTGTTTACGGTAAATAATGACTGTTCCGTACAGAAGAGACGGCTAAGGCTTAAGCATTGAGCACTTGTGTACGGGCAGAGGCCTGCTGATGTTGACGCTTGTGAGGCTGCTGGCGTAATCACATTCTTTTAAAGCTCAAACCGTTTCATTATTACTTTTTTTAGACCGAATTTCGTCTTAATGTTATCAATTGCTTTATAGTGGTGTAGGGGCATAGTGGTTTGGACACCGTTCACACTATGAGCAAAGCCACCCGAGTTTAATTCCCAATGATCACTATTGTCAGTCGGGAGTGATATCTCAAGCGGTGCTGGGTATCCTGCCCTGACACAAAACCGCACTGACTGGTGTGAAGTGTCGTCAAATCTCCCATGTGACTGACCCAATGTGGAGAGTGCTTCATCCAGCAGTGGATTAACAAAGGGCTTTGATTTCATCTGAGTTTTCTTTGAAGTGAGAAAGTTAAAACAAATCCAATTGTGGAATTCCCTGCAGGCAGGAGCTCATTAAAACTTACTTTAATCAGTTACTATATTTGATTTCAGTGCACCTTTTAACAGCAGCCAGCTTTGGCCACCTTATGGGATTTATCACACTGCTGAGCCTGGTCGATTGTGGAAATGTTTGAGTTAAAGACAAAGCTATTAATTTCTCAGACATCTCATTGTCTTTAATCAATATTGTGTTTTTCATTTAATCTACTAACAACGTGTTATTGAGCCCACTACGACAATGTGTGGGTTTTAATCTCACAATTTTCATTCGCGATTAATTAAACGTCACATTCCTCGCCTACTGTGCATGGAATGGATGTGTAGAATGTGCCGCTTGTTGCTATAAATTGTAAACAAGTCCTTGTTCTTTTTTTGGGATAATAAAAAACAACAAATTATTGATTGAAGCAAATGTGAAAGTTGTTTATAAATTAGTGGTTATCATCGATGGCCCCTACAGCGTCCATAATCAGTGTTAGGCGATGACGTGACACATTTGCCTCTTGTTTGCAGAGGTTCACGGTTAAAATTCAGCCGCCCAGATTAATACTGCAGGTGCATTAACTATAAAAATGTTATAAGCTGTCTGCTGCACGGTGGACATTAAAGATCCCGTAATGTCGTTCCCAAGAGTAGGCCATTGTGTGCTGGCATCATGGTCCAAATTTTTTAAATAACCCAAAAATTGCTAATTTCGAATATATATTGCAATTATTACCCCCGGCTAGAAATACTTAGCGGTGCCCATCTGTAAAATGGCCGTGATAGTCGGTGAGGCTTCTTCGACAATGTGTGTTTATGGCCTCATGTGTGCGAATGCACGTGTGTCTATGTGATGTGTACATGCAGGGGAGTGTTAGTGTAGGGGTTAGCACCCTGTGCTATGAATCCGGCAACCCGATTCCTGCTCACGGCCAACAACACCAGAGATAATTATTAACTGAACCCAGTCCTGGACCTCCCCTAGGTCGATTCATCCTCAAATGAGTACCTGGGCGGCGAGCGTGGTGCCGACCACCAAACCCCGTCATATGCCGTTCCGGCTTTAACAGGTGCTCCTCGCTAACGGCATTTACCCCCAAAAGTTTGTTAAGACTATAAGGGGGATCGATGTCTTGTCTTGTGCTTGCTGCTAGGCTCCTGACCACGCTGCGGAGGATCGGGGACGGCACGGAGGCTCTTGACATGCCCCGTATGCAAACCGTCATCGCCCGGCAGATTCTGGAGGCACTCAACCATGTGAGTGGCCCGCGGCCCCACCCATAGTCCTGGCCCGCACAGCTTCCACGGTCACCTGCCAATCACTGGAAACCACCAAAAATGCATTCAGGCCATTCAGTAACATTTTTTTCTGTTTTGCTTTCAAACATTGTTATGAAGAAGCAGTGAACGTGATAAAACAGGTCATTTTTTTTGTATATATTACAAACACTGCTAATGCATTATATGTTTACTCATGTATATAACTTCTGTGCTACCCGCTCACATTTTTCTCTGTAAGTTGTAGCTTCTGTGAAATTAACATTTTTCATTACAATGGCAAGCGAGCAATGCAGCAAACATCATAGTTGAGTAAAATTTGCTTTTATTTTTTTACCATACATAGTCCAGTTAGAATATTTATATTTTCTTTACATTTAAAGTGAGCTCGGTACAAGTCGGGGATAACATTCAAACATCACTGCCTGGGCACCTGACGGGCTTTGTGCATGTTGCCCTTTGATAGTATGAACCGTAAGATCTGGCGATTATCCGCTATGGACACAATTGTGGTACCGTCCGTGTGACACAATGGCCGAGATGAGAACCTTTCCCAAGGCATCTGCTTCGCCATGGCCATTGCCTGGAATATATTATTCTCACCCACCTCACTGCCATTTTTTAAGTTACAAAAAATGTCCCTTCGGAGAAAAAGACATTATTTTTAATCGCAATGGGTGAACTTGGAAAGTCGTGGCCGTTTGGCAGTTGTCGTGCATAACAGTCGAAAACCGCAGACACACGTCATGCTTGCTCGTAACGTTTATGTTTAGTGTAAATCTTAGATGGACTTTATAACCATTATCATGCATCGGCTTCCTGGAATAATATTTGTATTGTTCCTTTTACATAACTGGATGACAGATGTAGAGTTTGTGAATGTGGACTTAAGAGACTTCTGTGTAAATGTTTTCTTTCCATGCCGTATCAGGCAGGTGTACCATTACAGTACCCTTCACAAGTCTAGTTCAAAAGTCTCGTCAATTTTGTTATGGAATGCAGGTATGTGTAGCCCCCATGTACAAAGGTCTTCGCTGCATTCCACTTGTCAGACATATTTATTGAATTGGAGTTAAAGTGATGGTGTGAAAATATTGCCACTTTGTTCCCCGTTTACTTCAGAACAAATCGAGTTTGGTCTCTCTGATGTCTGGTCAATATATTCTCTAATGCTGTACAATCAATGTTGATTAGCAAACTCTTTATTTTGACGAAGAAAGTTAAATCTAATTGAAACGAGGTACAAGTGCGCACATCACATTTCTGATGTTCGTAAATACATTTTCATTCGTGACGTAGTTTTTGTTTTAGTTTACAGCATTACGGAGCGTGAAGTTGATTCTAATCATGAAATACTCATTACGTACATTAGTTGTGACCGTATTCGAAGGAACTACATCTTTTAAAAATAAAAACATCTTCCCCAATTTTAACTCGATTGTGCCATTTGGCGTCATTCCACGACACAAAGAATTTGCTTGGGTCTCTCGCATCGCGGTGCATGACCCCTATGTTGGAGAACATCTCTTGGAATGAGATATGACAGAACTGCTTCTGAAAATCTCTTGAACCGCCTCTTAGAAACACGATGGGGAATCACTTTCCCACTCGCCCTGCCACAGAGAGAAATGTGCATTGCACGACAATCGAACTGATACACTTAATTTTCAGAAGTGGAAATTGAGCCAAATTAAATGGTTAAATTGTATTTAATACATGTTCTTTATTTCCTGCCGCCATTGTTTGAACCAGGTGGAGACCATGATTATGCTGTTACTATTTTCAGGATAGCATAATCATATTTAAGTTTTACACGTAGCCTTTCGCGACCAATATTATTCATTATAAAGGTTACGACACATTTATAAATAACGCGATCTAACCCAAAAGCCTTCATTATGAATCATATTAAAGTCGCAGTTCATCAAATGTTGTGAATGCCAGAAAGTGAAAATGTATAGCAAAGCTTCTTGAAAAATGTTTGAAAAGTAATAGAATCACTTAGCATACGATTAAACTGGCTGCCTAAGATAAATAACGGCTGCTTGTCAAGAATACAGCTCAAAATGCAGCACTGTCGCCAATTTATTGCAGGCATTGGTGATGGAATCATGGCTGCGCATTCGAGGATGATTATAAACTTGTGAAAACAGCAATGCAAATACCATCAAACTCGCTGGAAATACTTCCAAAGTAAATTATCTCGAGAATGGGAAAAAAAAACACCCGTTTACAAAATCACTTGCATGCTCGTGGGAAATCTGCGTGTGCACTTGAATCGCTGCTTAAAATTGTTGTGGCGCGGGGGGGGGCAGAGGGTTTGGTGGGGGGGGGGAGGGTCAGAGGCGGGAGGGGGCATTGTGGGGGAGCTTGTGGGCGGCGAGCGGACAGGGAGTTGGGGGAGTTTGGGTGGGTGTTCACTCTAGCTGTTCTAAACGTGCAGTCCAATTTCACAATTGGCTCTCGCCTCTGTGCAGCAACCCAACCCAGCCTGTTTCTTTTGCGCTCGAGGCGACGACGCACTGAAAGGCGAGCGTCTTGTCACCGCCGCGTCTCCGCAAAGCCGAGTGAGGGGGCGGCTTTTTCCACCATCACCAACCTTTGGGGCTTTTCACGCGTACAGACGTCGTCCCTTGAGTGCTCCAACGCGCAGGTCGGGGCTGCCAGGATAACTGGGCCTCTCTGGTGCATGTGTCAGGGCTTTACACGTATATATTTATATTATTAGGCTTCATTAAACCGCTAAATACCGTGTATGAACGCGCTCTCGATGAGCCATGTCGTAAAAACCCAGAACAGCATGCTTTTTGCAGTTAGCCATTCATTATCTTGCCGCATCACCGATGAATTTCGCATGCTGCGATTCTTAAGTAGACGATGCCTCAACACCCACGTCTCCAGCTTTTTCTTTTGTAGAGCCCTTTAAAACACACACTTCAGTAAGACGTCGGCGTATTAGTGAAGAAGGGAACGCAATATTAAAATTCATTACCAGTGCTTAAAATGTCTCTGGTTTTCCCCTTTAATCATCCCACCTTCCACCCCCCCCCCCCCCAAACTATCGGAAATCAAAACTTTTAATGTAACTGCTACAATACAATATACACGGGTGGTTTAAACGCACGCTTCATGTAGAGTTTATACAAATCGTTTTGAATGTTTCGTGAGACAAATATAATTGGAATGTCTCCAGGTGTAAATTAGCAGTGGAGGAAGTGAGTATGGTAGGAGGCCTGGCGTTGCCATTGATGGAAAGTTGTTTTAACGATTGTACACCACGGTTGGTGGGAAGTGCGCGGTGTAGTCTGTGGATTTCAAAAATGTTTAATCCTTCATCGGACGCAGGCAACCTTTGTCAGCAGCAGTTTTCATCCGACTAATATGCCATTCAACTAAGTCGCTGTGGTTTGCGATTACAAACAGTGGCACGGCCGTGCCTCAATAAATGAATCTCTTGTTTTATTAAGTGTTAGGTCAATGAAAGTACTATAAACACCTTTTTTGATTTGTGGTATGCGCGTATGACTACTCTGCAACCTTTTGCTTTTTTGTTTTCTGTTATGCAGAGACAAGCAGTGTGCTTAATTTGTGTTTCTTTTTCAGGCTGAAGATCACCCACACGAAGCCATCGCTTTCTCCTGCATCGGACACTTCCTCTACGGCGATACCGAGGAGGAGGTATTGGGAAGCTCTGCCCGACGGAACGTTTTCGGCGTGACGTGCTAAAGAGGGGGGGTGGGTCACTGCCTTCGCAGATGCAGCCGAGACAGGGGGCAACCCATGCCTCTCTCCCCCTTTGCTACTTAACGCTCGATTAATTATAATTTCAACTTGTCACGTGTCAAACAGTATTGGCTCAGCCAGGCGGTGAGCCGGCACCAACAATTGCCCCAGCTCTGCAGTCCTCTGTATATTAAGATGTTTTCTGCCAACTAACGAGCGTTATACATGTGGGAGGAAAACCGAAGGGGCAACACTCCATGCCATACAGATGGAACACGCGGAGATTAGTCCACATTTAGCTGTACCACCGTCTTCTGGCGTTCCAGGGTATGGCATCTCACCTCCCATGGGTAGGGAGTTTCACAACATTTGTCTGATCCACCAACCCTTACGCCGTCGACACTGCTAGATCGGTCACAGGCCACGTGAATAGCCACCACCACCAAGCAGTGACATAGCCAAGCGGCAGTGGTATTACCGCTTGTTGCAAAAAAAATTCGGTTTGAATCCAGGAGGCCACCCTGGTTATCACTGCGGGTGTATGAAACCACAAATATGTGCCGGCTGCTTCACAATGCCGGCGTCATTAAAAATTACCCACGAATTACTCAATTGGGATTGGACTTAGCAATTACTACTCCCTACTGGTATATTAATGCTCATTTGCAGGGCTAGTGCTGAGTCATTTTGTGCCACACAGGGACATCTGTCACTGGGGGTGCCCTTGGAATTTTGTTAGCTGAGATGTGTGGTGTCAGGCGCTTTGAGTTGCTGATTAATATTTAAGAGCCATATAAATGCATAGATCAATATTATTAAACTATTGATGATATAGACTTGTCAAGACCAAGTCTATATCATCAATACATGCCATAGGTGGACCCACGGGTGGGGCAACTGGTGCCCTTGCCACCCACACATTGAGCAGATGGGGGTGGACAAACAATAATAGGCTTTCAAAGTTTGGGACAGGCAATAAAAGCCAATTGACTTTAACTTTTTAACAGCAAAAGGTCAACACATTCTTCAATAAGAATGCCTTGGAAGAGATTTAAAAAAATGGTGACCTTTTGGGCAGTGGCTCTTCGTAATCGCACAGGAGTGCAATGAAGGAGGGCCGTTGCCCGAAACGTTGCCTATTTGATTTTATTTTTGACGGCACTGTTATTGTCGAATGGGAGTTTGTTTTTTCTCATTGTGCTTGTGCACCATTGCCAACGCAGCATAAATGTTTCTTTGTGCACACTTTTATTGTGATATAACACCATCTGTGACAAATAACAAACGTAAAGGAGATAAAAATGTGGCATCGTCTGTGGGGAACAGATGCTGTGGCCGAGGGGGGGGAGGCAGAAATCAGAATCTGAGGACGACATTCGAACCGTGCGTGGTTTGGGCGTTAAATGAAGTTGTGTTTGGTGGTGGTGCTGCCCCCGCAACAGACTCCCCCCCCCCCCCCCCCCAATACCTTCACGTCTCCCCCCCAATGTGAGGAGGGAGTTACCCCCCCACTTATTATTTGGCTGCTATAAGTCTCCACGTTAGACGCCACTTCGTTGAGCTGTCATTTGTGGCCAGGTTGCTGCTGAAAAAGAGCTATGTAGCTTAGTGGGCCTTACGTGCTAAAATAAAAAATAGTTTAGTTTTCAGGGTTTTTTTTTTATAGAATGGAGGTTCAGCCCTTGATACGTGGTTTTATCGGGAAGCACATTTAAGTACCTTTTGACACTTGGATTTAACAATTTATAATATATATGAGTTTAATTTGTGGCCCGACACGAAACACATGCTAGTCATCTGATTGTTAAGTGACCTGAAGTGTGTTTTGCATTGTCTTTACGAAGTTATTTTCTCAATAAAAAAATCTCAAAGTTTATTGGCGATAAATTAAAAAAAACATGACAGTCTGTAAAAAAAATGTCACCTTTTGATGATGGAAAAAATTCCAACGCATGTCTTTTTCCACAAAAGTTTCCCACCTTGCTTAAAGTATTAGTTATGCTGCCCACTTGTGATAAGGTGTGACAGTGGTGCATTTTTTTTAGCCATGGGAATTGCATGCTTTTTTCAGGAATGTTGAGAACCGTATTATGGGGTGACTTTTATATGTGTTGTAAAACCCATCCAGCTGTACAAATGGAAAAAACCACCTCCTTAAAACAAAAACAACACACTCATTCAAAATTGTAGATGTGACTAGGTTGGGTAATATGAGAGCCAAGGACATGTGGATACGTTTTCTTTCCAGTTGCGTAAGCGGCTGAACCAGGTGGAGGCGTTCAAGAAGCTGGCGGAGGAGCCCGTGGAGTTTTGGCTGGACCTCCTCAACTTCTACTTTGTTGATAAGCCCTGTGTCACGGTACGCTTGGCCACACGACGACCGCAAAACAGCGGCCTAGCAATGTCGTGGTCTCGCCCTACCATGTAGACTGTTTTGTCTTGTCCATGCTGTGATCAACCGCCATGCACATTCAAAAGACTAAAATATTCATGCTGCTTTCCTCCTACTGCTGAGCTCTGTTGAAAAAAATATCCGATTATTGAACTCCTTAGCCACCACTTTGAGCTGAATTACTCATGAAGGTGTTCTCAATTTCTCCACACTGCAGGTCACAACACTTCTCTGTCTGTTTCTTCCCTCGCATTACTCTACTTTGAAATCCCCTCCTTTTGTTTATTTTCTTATCACTTTGCTCATTCAAATATACACATTAGCTCTTATCTATTACATCTCCGGCAGTGCTGTTTGTCGCTGGCTGCTTGGCATTTTGAGCCGTTGGGCCTGTGCTCAGAAACTGTGGTAAAATAAATAAATCATCACCTTGCTGCAAGCACGGGGTTAATCGTGATGGGTGTAACCATCCTGGGCATTCTATGAGTTTCCACGATTCAGGGTCACGATTCCATTCGAGGATGAACATTTCAGGTGGTCTTTCGTGACTGAAGGGGCTGAAGTATGAATAAAAAACTGATTCGTATGCATGTTGCCCAGGCATAAGAATCCATGTTGATCGATGAATTGATACATATTGCTGCACCCATAGTTTTAAACGTTATGACCTTATCTTCAAGTCTTAAAAAATCAATTTTTAGAAGGCTGACCAAAAATTTCATGTTCCGTAAAATAATGCATTCAACCAATCTTGATGTCTCTGATGCTGCAGAGCTTGCTTAATAATGTCTCGATGATTCGGCAGCCGTCGATCAAACTTAATGGTCATGCACACGTGGTGCAGTCGTTATTGCACTACGCTAACGACTAATACCGGTGACGGTAATCTGAACTGGTCCTGGGCCTCCCCTAGGCCGACTCAGCCTCAAACGAGTACCTGGTGCAGTATGTAAACATCCACACGTGGGAGACAAAGGCGACCAGGGGTGGTGGTGACCACCCACCCCCTAGCGCGCCGTGCCGACCTTCATAGGTGTTCGCTAACAGCACTTGCCCCAACAGTCTGTTACGGCTATACGGGGGACCTCTGTCTGTTGCAGGTTGTCGGGGAGCCCAGCCATGCGCTGCAGGTGGAAATGGAAGCAGCGGAGAGCAGGAGAGTGGAGCGCCAGCGGGAGACGCTGGGAGAGGAGGGGCTGCTGAAGTGCGCCAAGATCATAGAGAATGCGCTGCAGCAAAACGAGGTGAGACCCGCACTAGACCCAAACTTAGGGGTGGCACGATGGCGAGATATTAACTCCCTCGCCTGGTATACATGAGGTCGTGGATTCGATCCCGACCCTAACACCTGTATATTTGGAGTTTGCATGTTCTCCCTGTGGTCGCATGGATTTTTCTCCGGGTCCTCCGGTTTTCCCTCCATGTTTAGAAACATGTTTGGAGTATTTGGCTGCTATATATTTACATGTAAAAAGCCACTTCATTGAGCTATCATTTGTGGCCAGGTCTCTTCTGAAAGAGAGATATGTAGCTCAGTGGGCCTTACCTGGTAAAATATATAGAAATAGTGGTTTCATTTGTTATACGCGTTGTGGTGAACATTTTTATTGCATTCACTGAAATGTTCAACGTCGTTTATTGACTTTTTCTTTTCTCACGGGATATATTTTTTACTTACTCCATAAACTACTCGCATTATGGGATTGAGGTGCCATATCCTGGTTCACAATGTGATTAATTGTCATGATTATGCAATTTTCAAGATTCAAATTTTTTTTTGCATGGTGCATTGAAGCACTTCTCATGGGGTCACAGTAACTAATTATATTAAACATATGCAGATGGAAAGTCATCAATTCTTACACGTATGATTGCACGCTTATATCATGAGCAAAAGATTTGATTTTACTTGAATCAATGCAGCGTTACATCTCTACTGTTCACAACGTTCTTGGGAACATGCAATAAATCATTGGACTTTGCTGCCAAGCACATGGCGCTGAGGTCTATAACAACCCTGTTTGTGAATGGTGGTCACTCATCGAAGCGCTTGTGCATCTGAGATGTCAGGAGACCGGGTGCATATGGCGTGATTTTGTAAGAAATTTGTGATTCGCCCCTTGTATATATATGCTCACATCCACTACTTGCTCTGTAACGACCGTAACATCCTTTCGCAACCAACCGTAGAAAGAGCCGCCGGAGGAAATTGTGAGCCGCCTGCCTATCCCGAGCACGGACAGCATCCACTTCCACCCCATTAAACCTACCTCCAACATATCGGTCTGCCACGTGGCGGGCCACAGCGAAGACGGGCGCTTCCCGTTGAACGAGATCTGCTTCCCTTTCCAGCTCGACCACGTTCACTCGAACTTTGTCCGGGTGAGAGCGAGCGTGACGTGTGTGTGTGTGTGCGCGCGTGCGTGCGTGCGACGCTCCCTCAGTGCAATGCAATGCCGCGTGCTACAAAACATTCTTGTGCATGAGCGTGAAGTTGTGTTATGATCAAGTGCGTGAGCTTCGAATATTTTTTTTTATTCGTCGGGGGTTGTTGACGAGCCGAATTGCGCTTCATTTATAGTTTTATCGCGGTTTTGACGAGCACGGGCTCTCATGGCACCAAACGGCCAACAACAAACGCCACTCTTGAAGGTATACTAGATAAGAGCCGACGCGTAAATAATACCTGGGAAAAGAGACGATAATAGAGAATTCCAAAGTCGAGCGGCATTGAGAAAAAAGCAGAAAGTACTTTTAACCCGCAGTGTGTTGAAGAAACATGTTACGGATGAAATGGTAGAAAACATAGGTGGATGAATTTACAGGAGGCGTTCATGGGAGCTAGTGACCATGCGAGTAGAGGCAGTGTTAGCGAAAGACATTGTCCAGTGTTTCTCTTTTCCTGCTTTTTTTTGTTACGATGCACACGTTGACAGTCTTTCCGACACCTTGAAAAATTGCAGGAAGGGAATAATTGGCCCCTCCCATTATCTTTGTCATTATAATCATTACCTTCCTCCGTGCCGAATGCATTGCGGTCCCGTGGCGTTCACGTTACTTTCTCAAAGTACGCGGCGCTGGTATTCACACGGGGAGTGGGGGGGGGGGGTTGCGTTTAACAATCGGCAGATTCTGTACGAAATCGCAACAACAACAAAAAATAAAAATTCAAAACACCTTTCCATTTTACCTGTCGCCGCCAGCAAGTACATGTGCCACAGCCACCGTGTCCCACCCAATGGCTACAAGACACCAGGGCATTGTTTGAGGATTTCTGTGGCCCATCTGAAACAAGCAGCGTGCGACGGGGCGACAGAGAAGAACGACAGAGAAGAGCGCGCTGTGCCCTGGAGGAAATTTTTTCCGCATTCTTCCCACTGGGTTGATTGACAAAAGGAATTCGGGAGCGCTCTCTTCTACAGGGCCAGGCAGGTTTTTTTTTGTATTTTAGCGGTGCAAGCCTGGGCGAGGCCTCTGCCGTTAAAAAATCTAACGAGCCTTTTTTTTTTTGGGGGGGGGGCGGGGGGGGGGGGAAGATGGAGGGGGGTGCTGTTGAAGGCGTAGAAAAAAATAAAGGGTTCCGCGCATGGGTTTCGTTCGTTTAAAATAATATTTTAATTTACGCGAATGTGATTCATATTTACACTGCGACAAAGGATTAAAACTTTTGAGTTGCCTGTAGGTTCTAAAGAATAGTTTGCCTTAAACTTGACAGCAGAGAATAAAAAGAATACCATTATGAAGGCATGAATTCATGGAAAGTATCAGCCTTACACTTAGATCCCCACGGTGAAGAATATAACACTAATTATTCTTAGTGGCGCCATTTATATTAAAAGTTTAATCTCAACGGCCAGTGCTGTTGAGAAAATCATAAAACGGTAATTTTATGTTAGCGATGTTTTTACTTTTACAGTGGTCCCACTTAATGTTAGCAATTGCGCCGTCTGCTGGATTGTTCTGGTATGCCGCGTGTTGAATAATTCTCAAGCCAGTGTGTGGCATTGTCTTGTGGCTGTTAAGCCAACATGTCCACGATTATCATGCGTTCGGATTGATAGGAAGAGAAAATATCAGTTTCAAATGGAATCCTAATGCTTTGATGCACACACCTTATTGTAAAGTTTAAATATTTTGGTGAATAGTTTTGTTGACCTTCCTCCGCACCTCCGATTAGCACGGTTGGCTACGTACGGTGCGAAAGAAGTTCAACATACGTACATGCAATGTATATTTGCCAGTGTAACACAGGGCTCATCTGTCGTCCGGCAGTGTAATTATATCTTTTCACTTGGAATTGAGGACTGCACGTGATTTCATTATCATATCGAGTCAATTTCATGTGTGTACTTCCCATCATAGGCTGATTGTATAAATAAGCAGACTCAGTGTTTCGGTCAGCCAACATGTAATATAGGAGCAAAACAAAAAATCACAAATTTATAATCATGGTCCTATGTTCGTAAGCGAAGTCTTTTATCTAGCAGTGGCCAATGATATTGATCGTTGTGCAAGAAAGGTTTGAATTGATAATTCCTATAAAAAACAACTTGCAAGAGCAATAATCTGCACGGCTGGTATCATGTTGAGTTACATCAATGTACAGCGTGAGAATCATCGGGCGGACAGTAAAACAATACTAGGCCACTCCATTTATAGTTTTTGATTGCTTGCGATGTGTGGGCAACTGGTGACATGAAAAATGTGTGCATTGTGAGTAATGTTATTCCCTTTGATCTGCTTGGTTTCACAGTACATAGTTATGCTGGACACCACCCCGATGCCACAAGAGCTCAAACCTTACCTCGGCCTGTACTCGGAGATAATATTCGAGTCACCGTTGATGCGTAATGGAGGTGAGTCAAGATGCTTAAACTGCCACGCTCACTTTGCTCTCGAAGCACAGTGTGCTTGCTTTGCAATTAGCGTGCTCACATTTTGTCCATTTTGACTACTACCTGTCTTAAAGTATTGTACTTATGTACGTTATTTCGAGACGTTTCAGAGCAGTTCCATATGTGGCAAATGTTTGATGTATTTATTAGGAAGTTGCAATGTCGCTTGTAATTTGTCAGTAGAATGTTCATCGTTTGAAAGTGCACACTAATAGTAAATGCTGCACATGTAATTTCTCTCCCTGATGCAAATGCATATTTAATAGAAAATCCAACTATGATCATTCAGCTTAGTTCGGTTCTTACTGAAAATTATGCCTTTTAGGTAAAGGTGCAGCCCTGCAATTGCTTGTTCACACTGCTTCTGGAAAATGTAGCTCTAGATAACAATTCTATAAATATTTGGCCTACTCTTCCAATACGGGCAGGTGTCTTGGAAGAACCGCAGCACATTTTTGTTTTTTTCCAAATTAACAAACTGGCACCATTTGGTCAGCTGCCGCACCGGGATATCAAGTTGAAACGGTGACCTCTGGATTGCGAGTTCAGTGTGCCAGCCATCACACCACGACAGCATCCTAATGCATATTAATCGCTCGCACACATATATAAAATACAATACAGCAGAGCTAGTATTATGCCGTCAGCATCTTTATATGCATTGCTGAACAACAAAAGGTGGTGAGGCTGCATCTTATGGCTGTGAACCAATGGGGACCATAACCCAGGCTGCCTTCTAAGCTGCTTACACTGTAGTCATTTCATACTTCACTGTGCATTCACATTTGCATGGTGTTTAGCTCTGGTGCCCCATGAGGAGGTGATTAAACAGCTGGCAGAGGACACTGTGAAGAACGATGCCACGCTGGGCATGAAGGGCTGCCGATTCTTCTGTGGAAGCTACGCGCACCTCCTGTGCATCATGCTCAAGGTGACATCAAAAATAAACATGGGCAGAGAGCTCCAAAACTTCCATGGCACTTGGAAAAAAAGAGGCTCTTTGCAGTTATATTAATTACAGTGTCTGAGCCTCAGTAATTAGATACAGCGGTGATATTGCTAAGCTGAGAGGGAAAAAAAGACACTTTCATTATGAACTTTAATATCCTGTAGTTTATAAAAAAAATCTGGCTTTTGGTGGACGTTTTTTGGCAGGCATGATAAAATGAACTAGATATTTATGATCATGGCACATAAGCACTGGCAGTTTTTAATCAGTGTGTACTATCTGCATTGACATACGGCGGTTTAAAAACACCGTGGTCATTAAGAAAAACATTGAACTAAAGCTGAAAACTGAACAGACATGCATGCTTGGAATTACATTGAGATCTAAAAAGAGCAACGTATTAATTCGAGAACACGCACACATTAATTGCGTGAATTATATTGAATAAAATGAGGTGGACTTGGGTAGGACACGCCACTGAAAGAGTTGATGACCGATGGTCAGGATAATGATTGGGTGGTAGCCAAGGAAGAGATGGAGCATTGAAATCAGCTCATGCGCAGGTACTCGGTAGATTATTGCATTGCAGAAGCATAAAGGATGACGACGACTCGGGAAGGCTTTTATCCAGCAGTGGATTGATCATGGCTGATGTTGATGCGCTTGCAGTATGATGAGCATCGCAATCCCGTAGCTCTGCACATAATTATGATATGGCAGTAAATGCCGTTATTAGTCGTGTGCGATTGAAGCTAGTAACATTTGGTTTTGCATACTCTTTAACTCCAATGACAGTGGTCTTTTATCTGTGATGGAGGGGAAGAAAAATACATCGCATGTTTTATAAAATGTAGGTAGAAGTTTTAAACATGCTCTAATTTTTTTTCTAAATACGCATTCTTTCTTCAGCTTTCATGACTGCCTCTATGCGTGCCATTAATTCACTGGAGTTAACCTTTGAACATATCAGTCGCCTTTTTGATGTTGCACATTACTACTGCTATGATTCCTTTCATTTACAACTTTTAAATATGTATTTTTTTATTTGTACTTTATCAGTATTCATTGATTTTTAGATCGCTTATGAGATGTACTTCCACCGCATGCTTCCATTGAGTCTCAAAGCCGTTTTCTCGAGCCAGTTTAATGATTTGTTTACCGCGTCTCTCGCTTATAATTTGGTACATGCCAACCTTCATCACATGAAGCTCATTTCGTTCTAAAGAGCCCTAATTTCTGGTGACAATACTGCATTGTGACAGTTTCCTAGGCCCCGTGTACATCACTCTTTCCCACCCCACTCCCCTACCCCTTCTCCTTTACACTTGCCTGGGAATTTTTTTATTGGAAATCTAACCCCTCTTAAAATTCTCGTTGCCAGGCATCCAGAATTAAACCACCGGGAAAATAATTTATGTCCGTGGTAATGTTTGTGGGTTTTTTTCAGTCTCTCCCCCGCAGAGAGATACTTATTCAGTTGGATTATTCGCCCTGATCCTCCTTTGTTCGCATATGGTCGACAAATGTCATGTTTAGTCCGAACAGAAGCTATTGACCTCTTTGAATGGCACGTGATAAAAATGACAACTCTCGCCCACTTTTTTTCATGTGAAAAAAAATCGGGATTTGAAAATTATGGTTTTAGGCACAAGGAAAAGAAAAAGTGGAATTTTTTTCCAGTGGCATAACGGTGGTACGTGAGAAGCAAACGAACGCAGGATGACGTGTTGAGCATGAACCTAGCGCATGCACCTGCTAAGACTTGAACACATGAACAATACGAAGAATTATAATTACAGTGGATGTTGGCTATATGCATGGTATATCTGAGCACAGTTCACAAAACATTCTTACATTACACTCGTGGGGGAAGGCAAAGGATAACATCTGATTCCAATATATGTAAGTTGAATGTATGTATGATACAAGCATACTTGCCTTGCTTAAACATGTGATTATGTTCAGCTTCTGCATTTTTTCTTTGCTGATGAAACTGAAAAAAACTATCTTCACAACCAGTGTATTTATGAATTGGGTTGCTTAAAGTTGACTTAGTCACACAGGACCAGAGGTCGCAAACGGGTTTTGATCCCGTACCCGTACCCCGCCGCACCAGGGTCGCAAACGGGTACCCGTACCAGTACCCTACCCGTACCCAGCCGGGTACGGGTAGGGTACGGGTACGGGTACCCAATTGCGACCTCTGGGATGAAGCCATGTTGCAGGCACGGGTGGGTTGATTCTAGGAACTTGAATTGTGAGAAGAGACAAGACGTTGGTAAATGAGTGACAAACGGTTACTCACCAGTGACTCACGGCCGGGTACGGGTAGCCGGGTATCGGGTACCCGGTTGCGACCTCTGCACAGGACCATGTTTAGGGGTCTTAAAATGCAGTGTGCATGCCAAAGCTAACGCAACTTATCGACAATGTTAAGAGTAGGGGGAGCATCCGTCCCAAGTCGTACTGAACAGCTGCCTTTGTTTTTTTTTTACTCAAGTACTGTCTTCTTTGCCATGTCCCCTGTGGCGTAGGTGGACAGGCAGAAATATTGCAAAGGTGTGCAGTGGATTAGGGAGCTGATGCGCCAGGTGGTCTTCACTCCCGAGCGAATCCAGATCGTGGCCACCAAGATCCTGAACGAAGTTCCACGACACAAGCGCGACGGGTCGACGGTGGTCACAGCGATTTTGAAAGAGCTCAACTTCCCATCGGGTGAGGAAGCTCGATTGTGTGAGGCTTGCCCAAGGGAAAAATGGAGAGGAACGCTTCACGTAGTGGTGTCCTGTCTCAAGTGGAGAATGACCAATTTTTTCCCCTCCGCCTGGGACCGCCACAAATTACCGCTTGGGGAATTTAAACATATCAGGTTATGTGTGTGTGTGTGTGCAGTCGGGGCAATTGCGCTATGGTGAAAGGCAAAAGAACGTTTTAACGAATGGTTGGCCTTTCTGCCTCGTCTGTAATACGAAGGGCTCTTATTGCAAAAGCACATAAATTTTGTCACCAGACAATGGAAAATCGCTGGCTCCAGAGGTCACTCTTAATGAGAAACTCCCACGCTATGGCTCACTTTTGGCCCGTTGATGCATTGGCTCTTGTCTAATGGGTGAAGAACTCTGCAGTTGCCACACGTCGAACATTTTAGGGAAGTATTTTTTGTTGTTGCACAAAGCATTTCTCAAGAATGTTCCCCGTATTCTGGGACATATTTTGTTAATGTTTAGGCGGTTTCAATACTTTATGAAGTTGTGTTAACTCCGTCACACATTCTGACACAGCCGAGCCTTCCACTTTGAACACGTGGTTAAAACTCTCATGACGGACATCCACGGGATTCCTACATCTAGCAGTGGGTAGAAACTGGCCGACTGATGATGATGATGGCGGTGCTGATAATGAGTTAAAACTATTGCTGTTTAAAGGTGGCGGGCGTGTGTAGTTGAAGTTGTTTGATGATGTGCATGACTTTTATTTCCTAATGTTTTTTGACAGAAAGCAACCACACCAAGATGAACATGATCAGACAGCAGAGGTTTCTCACCGACCTGCTCAAACGGCTCGAGACAGACCCAAAGCAGGTGCCGTGATAATGTCCTAGTCCTGTGGATGTGTTAAATGAAACATTATGCAAACTCGACAAAATCCCATAATAATTACCACAGTTTCAAATTGTGCTTTCTCAGCAATAACAGCAGATGAGAAATTTTACATAAATAAGAAGGGAACTTTGTTTATAAGCTGCCTCATGTTTCTGCATGCCTGCGCAACATTTAATACATTTTGGAAGTCACTGATCAATATGTAAATTTGGTGAATAACAATTTCAGAAAAGTTTTCTCTGTCGTCCCTTGTCCGGGTGTCCTGCTTCCCCAAAATACATTATATCAACGCTGAGACCCCACCGATAAATATTCCTTCAAAAAAATCCATGTTACTTTGTAAAAAAAAAAAAAATAATTCACGTGAGCCCGTGAGAATTCGATACGTCGTTGTGTCCTGTGTTAAGATGGTCGGTGACTGAAAGGACATTGGCAAGCCACTCTTCTCTCACAGCGTTTGTCATTGGATTGCTGGAACCTTGCCTGCCTTTGGTAGTCACGCGAGAAGCGGTGGAACGGTGTGTCGATTCGGCCGTTGTTATCGATTCTCAAACTCACTACACGGGCATAAGCATCGTATGTGTAAGGATGTTTTCCCTTTTTCATTCTTGTATGTTGCACGTGTTTGGTACGGATCACTTCTGTGACCACGAAAGACACTATCATTCACTGCATTCTTACTAACGCATTTGATTTTTGAATCCACTCCTACCCACAATCATACACCCTGAGGCCATTGCCACTTAACCACCACTTTCAGACAATTCCTTCTCTGAAAGCGTTGCCAATTTCCCCGTAACGCAGTTCAAAACTCTTCTCTTTCTGCTTCTATCCTCGCACTGCCAGTCTCCCCCCGCCTAAATCTCTTATAACCTTGCCCATTTCAAGTAACCTTTTACAACCTTAAAGAGTGCTATTTTCTTCTGGCCGCTTGGCGTTTTAGGCCTTTGGGCCCTGTGCTCAGCAATTCTCAAACAACAAATAGTCTGCTAGGGTGGCGAATAATGTTGTTCGGTTTGCACAGAAGAGAGAGAGTGCGTAGTAACACTGTGGGGTTGTCATGTGCCCGCTCGCTGTCCAAGGTGATCGCGGACATGGAGCGAGTGGCCGAGGTGGTGATGTCTGCCGAGAATCTACGCGTGCACGTGTCGGCCGACGTGGGCTGGCTGGCAGCCGAGTTCCCGCAGCCCCAGCAGCCCTGGCTCGATGGCTCTCTCTTCCCGCAAGCCGAGATAACGGCAACACGGTCTGCATCCCAGGGCGCCCCCACCACCGCCACCGCCGCCGCCACCGCACTGCGCGCGCACTGTTGGTTGCGCCCAAGATCGTGCCACTGATTTGGGTCAGAAAATATGTGCTTTCAACAACCGGCTCTTGCAAATGGTTGGTCCAAAGGAAAGTTGATTTGGCCCTTTCAATGATTTGAAAACATCAGAAGGTCAGGGATTTCCTTTTGAAGCCCAGTATAAGTTTTTATTTTCTGTTACGCTTAGCCTGATGTTTGGTAGAAGGGTTCCTGTTCATGACAGTTTTTTTATTGCAATTAAAAGAACTGCCTTGCAAAAAAAGTGAATGCATATTTCAAGGATACAAAATTCTGGTAATGTCTTGGCTGTAAACAATTATGGATATCAAAACGTCTTCGCGGCATGTTACTTAACAACCAACGGGAGCCAATAATGTGGCTGTGCAAACGTATTCGATCAATGTGAATTATATATTCCATGAACGTAAAAACATTTTTCGATTTCAAGCTTTCGTGACTGCAGGGATTCATCTTCTTTGTTCTTTCGGTAAAGTCACGTAGAATGGAAATAATAAAGTAATAAAAATTAAACATAATAAAATAATTCTCACGACGTTTCGGCCACAACGCAAGCAGCCGTCCTCAGGTGAAGAACAGGTCTATCGAGAAGACAGAGTCTGAATGAAACACCCCAGGTTTGGAGCATCTATTTAAGCTGGGTTGGAGGGAGAAGAGAGCCTCGATAGACCTGTTCTTCACCTGAGGACGGCTGCTTGCTTTGTGGCCGAAACGTCGTGAGAATTATTTTATTATGTTTTATTTTTATTATTTTATTATTTCCATTCTACGTGACTTTACCGAAAGAACCAAGAAGATAAAAACATTTTGTAAATTATTTAAATAATTTTACATGCAGTGAGCTACTGCTCGTTTGAATACACGTAATGGTTACATTTAAAACCCGAGAGTGTTTTAAAAAAGGATGTTTAATCCAATCAGACAACAGCATTTTCAAGTGTATCATTTCTAATGTTTCTTCCTCACCACTTTTCGAACATTGTTAAACAAGTAAAGAGTTTGGTAATTATTTGTAATTCGAACTCCCATCAACATCTTACATTTATTATTGATCATCATCATCTACCTGGTTTATTATAGCCGTCTAAATTATTAATGACCGCACACTTAGCATTTTGAAGCGTAACAAATTTGCTCATGAAAACTTTAGCGTCCAGTCCCCTGCCGCCTTCTCCGCGTCCAACACAATCGCGCAACATGAACCCCGAAAAAAAAGAACGTTGCGATTAATCGCGGCTTCTGGTTGTAAACATGTGTGGTGGCTTTTTTATTTTATTTTACATAACCACCATGTGCTACCGCTGGCTATCTGCTTTCTTGTAGGGTCATGGGTTGGGGTTTCCCACACAATAGCTTCCTGTTTTAAGTGAACCACCAGTGGCTAAGAAATCAACACTGCCCGTTAAACGCACGCCATAAATCGAGCTGTTGGACTTTAAAGCCTTGCGGGTGTATTTCCCCAAAGCTAATTAAATGGCTAAGTGCAGTATACAAAACAAGTGGGGTAGAAAATTGGAGAGTTTACAGGAGGCATGTTTGGGCACAGTGGACACAATTACGCGAGTAACATTTTGCTTTGCATCCTTAACCAGTTCATTGATTTTGGTTCTCTAACTCTACTACTACCACTTACTCACATTTTATGAAGTCATAAATATTCAACCCAGAGTCTTTAACTTCAACTTGTCCATTGAAAGCAAATTGATGCTACTACCCCTTGCGTTTTGGTGCACTGGCATGGCATTGGCACAGCAGGCTCATTGCTGGCCAAGATTCGTTTTTATCTTCACGTAGAATATGGATTGCGGAGAGCTGTGGCACCGCACTACGAACCCGGCGATCCGAGTTAGATTACCGGCCATGGCTAACATCAGTGAGGAGCGATAACTTGAACAACTGGTCCTGGGTGTGTGCCACCCTTCAACCAACCCGCAATATGACCAGCATGGTGAAGTATGGTCAAGCGGCCCCCATGACTCACATGGCATGGGGATACCTTGTTCCCAACATTGGATTGTTCTCCATTAGGCTGTACACAAACAGCCTTCCGTATAGAGCAGTGGTCACCCACCAATAAAAGTGACCAGAGGCTACCTATTTTGTGTAATCGCAAAGTCTATTCTGTGTTACGTTGATGGATTTATGTTTTGAATTAATGATAGCTATCCGTAGCTATCTTGAATTCAATTCAAAGAATAGTTTCGTCTCATTTTCATCATGTCATTCATATTTTTTCTCTATTTTTGAGCCTCATACAATTTGGTTCTCTCCTTTCGTCTAAACGTAACATGAACTTAAATTAATCGTAAGTGACTAATATTCATACATACATTTCGATACGTAATATTAGCCAACAAATCGATTTAAATCGACAAATCAGTGCACCTTCGCATAGCTGCTATCCACGCAGCTGCCGTTAACACTTTCCGGGTTGGCGATGGGACCAACCTGGAATCTGTCGCGCACTTTGTTTAGGTATCCCACGCCTAATGCAGCAGCGGACACTGATGATGGTTTGACGGTGCGGGCATTGGGAATTGAACATGCAGCGTCGTGCTCTGTGTGTGTGTGTGTCGCGCAGCCTACTGGAAATGACGCAAGGTCACGAGCACCTTCTGCCAATGGGAGTGACCGGGATTCTCATCGGAGTGGGATCCGTGGAGTCCAGCTATGTTATGGAGTCCGTTCCATGCATTACCGACTACACCCACCCAGACCTGCCGGCAATTATGGTGTTTATAGAATACCTTACCGCTCTGGAGGTGAGAGACAAGTAGCCCATGTGTTATATGTACGTGCGGCACCACACATCGCCTTAATTATCTGTTGAGCTGTAATCATGTTGTCACACATGCTGCTATTTATAGGTTAGATGTTGAAATTCCAATTACTGTGTAATGGACAAAATCACAAGTAAGTTTTAAAAAAAAACGAAGTTTGCTTCTTTCTTTAAAGGCTGTGAAATGAAGTTGTGAATTGTTTTCTAATTCTCATTGCGTGACTGTGCAGGGCCCCATGTGGAGGCAATTGAGAGGGCTCGGTCTAGCATACCACTACAGGTGACAAACACACTTTTTTATATATACATTTATATTTTAAAAGTATCATTACTAGAACAGTGGGAGGCGAGCCCGAGTGTTCCACAAAATGTTTACACGGAATTTGCAGAAAAGTGCGTGATGTGAATCCGTGCGTGTGCACGTCTGTGTGCGTGTGTGTGTGTATAGCTTGTGAAGAACAGTAGTGTGTGTAGTGTTTAGCGCATTGCGCTGCAGACCTGGCAAGCAGAGTTTCATTCCTGCTCACGGCTAACATCGATGTAAAATACCTGAAATGCTCCTGCGCCTCCTCTATGTCAACTCAGGCTTAAATAAATACTTGGTGCAGTGTCTATACAGCAGCACTGGGCGGCCAGGCATGGTGGTAGCCACACCAGCCTCGTATGCCATTCCAGCTTTCATAGGCGTTCGCTAACAGGGCTTTCCCCAACACACTGTTAAGGCTGTACGGGGGATCTTTGTCTTTGTGCCTACCGCTGTGTTTGTGGTCCGTGCAGCATGCGTGCCGTACCCAGCCAGGGCCTCCTCTTCTTCTCGCTGTACAAGTCGAGCCACCCAGTCAGCGCTTATAAGCACGCCAAGGAGATCCTGGTGAGAGCTCTGCAATAGAAATTCGCCTGTCCATTTTTTTTTTTGCAATTGTTTGTCTTTTTTCTCCAATTGTGCTGTCGTTGTCACACAATGACACGTGACATTTCAATTGTGCTATCCGTGCAATGTCACGAGACGAAGGATCCAAGAGGATAACTCCAAAAGCGGTGCCACCTGTGAACAGAAACGGCCCGTGGAAGGAGATATCGCTGAACTATTTGCCGAGGTCCCTTCAAGTGACCTCTGGACCACACTGCAGTGAGTGGCACACTTTGCCACGTGCCCTGATACAGAGTAATGTTCATCACAACGACTAGCGATCAGAGCTGGAATTTAGCCAAATTACGTCAAAAACCAAATTTAATAGGATGTTTTGTTTTTTGTGCGCAGTCATTGGTTAGGAGGTTTAGACAATCACATTTGAGAACCCGGTTTAAGCACAAACAGCTGCCTGGATTCCAACCCAGAATCTCAGCGGTCGAAGCTCAGCGCTCTGTCCTCGGAGCAACTCAGCCACCTTGCTTGATTTAGACTCGTAACGCACGTGCACTCAAGTACAAGTAACCTTTCAGAAGAATTGTCAACGCTTCCCCACTTGTCCAAGCCTGCACACGTGGCATGAATCGTCTGCTGCCCTGGCCAACGTTCTGCTTCTTGTCGGAACGTTGTGGCTGCGTTGTTGTGAATGTTATGCCATAGCGCATTGGGGTTCCTCAATTTGTAATGAATTTTGCATATCTGCCTACTTAAGTTATTATTGTCATAGACAACCTGAATCTTCTATTGTACAATGTCATTTCTACTCGTATAGCCACTGAGTGTAACAGCATGTGACGACTAAATGTGTAAGTTTGATTTAAACAAAAAATGTTTGTCGTTTTATAACCATTGTATGTTGTGGATCCTCATGCTAGTATCACAAGAATCAAAACTATAATAAGCTAACTATGCATTGCTTATAATTGTATATGTTATATTTATATATGCCATGTAACGAATGGACAGATAGTCCAGCTGAATATGTACGTTGTTGAATTTAAATATGGTGGGCGGGCACGAAATTAGAGAAATAATATACAGCCCTTTGTAAATCCGGTGTTGGTTGAACACCTGCCCACAGTATTTGTGGCGAGGAGGGGTTGTTCGTTCCATAAGGGTTATTTGATCATACTTAACGCTGGCCTGTGCGGCCTGGTGAAGGGTGAGCCCAGGACCAGTTCAGATGTCATTCACCGTTTAGCGATCGCCATGGTCAGGAATAGAACGCAGGTTTGCCGGGTTCGTAGCGTAATGTGATAACCACAGCGCTACCACCCACCCGTGCCTAGAGGTTCAATCGCCAACAAAAACTGTTGGGGAAATTGAGCGACTTTGGCCAGGAGGTGGAGCACTCATCACATTGTTGGCAAGCTCACCAAGCCTAAGCGCTCTTTTCTGCGCTATCAGGGATATCCAGTATCCTTCTCATTTACAAATAGCAGAGTGGAGGGAATTGCTTAAATTTTTTATTTCAAAAGAAATTCAAAGCAAATCATATTCCATGGGATTGCCGCCATCTTAAAGCGGTTGGCAAGTGCAACTGCTTCTGAACTAAATGTCAGTAATATGAATTTTGCTTCTTCCTTGGCCATTCAAATGCTAATGTTAAATGCTAATAACTATAGCCGCTGCAAATTTTTTTTTTTACTCTTCGAGGCCTAGTGTTGTTTCACCGGAGTGTGACGACAAACCGCAACACACGGCCTGCTCAAATAAAACTTTACACCTGCCGCAAAAACCCTCGCACACTCGAACGCCACGCGCCTTAGATTGCGGGCTGGTAGAACGCGTGCGTGCGGACCACGCGGCCTGATTTTGTTTAACTCCCCGAGGCTGCGCGTCCCCGTGTGCGTCTCGCCGTCAGGATGAGTTTGTGTTGGGTGCTACTCCCTGGGACCCTGTGATATTGGAGTCGTCCATCTCGAGTGTCATTTTCGAGATCATCGAGCGCGAGACGACCGTCTCCGAGGCCTCCCTGCAGTCCCTCATGTCCAGCTTCCGCAAAATGGACAACAAGTACGTGGCTTCACGTGGTGTCAAAGCGCGCCGCGGGGTTTTTTTTTTCTGTCCGTGTTAGCAAATTTTGGAAACTGCGCGCGTTTAATGATTCACACCACACACGGCCACCCCATCTTCCTTCCTCCCCCCCCAGCTGACAATTCTAGTCATGATTTAGGGTCTTGATTCAACTCTTTTTTTCACTTTTACTATTTCGTTGGTATTGTCTTTTTTTACTTGTATGGTTTTGTTTGCTCCCATTAGCCTACGTGTAAGTTCAGCATTCCAGTTACATATTATCGGCAGTCATGAACTATCCACTGCTGGATGAAGGCGTCCTTAAATCATCGCCTTCCCTCATAGTCTCACAATCTCATAATCCATCGAGCTTCTGTGCTCCATCTATTCGGTGTTTCCTCCTTTGGCAACCATTTCATCGTTAGTCTCAAACAGCCGTTATCATCCCTTCTCGGTATCTGTGCTGCCCAAGACCAGTTTAGCCGTCAATATGTACTCAAACCTGCTTTTGTTCTCTGATTTATGTGTTCCACTTGATGTCTCTCAACATAAGCTCAAGCGGCACCAACCCTTGCTTATTTGCACGTGTTTGTCAGCTTTTGCCATATGGCCACATCACGTAACCCAAAACCAAATAATTGTTCATTGTCTTTGCTATGAAAAACCTACATTTATAAAGGTTTTTTTCTATTTCCTTTGCCAGTGTTTATGTTTCCGATTTCATGTCTCATAGCCGATAATATTCCCTGGTTAAATACTTTCTTCTCTGGATGCATTGCGGTGTTGCTTTTCATTGTCAACGTTTCCCAAAAGCACCTCAACCTGCTCTCGCCGCCCACCTCTGTATGCCATCACTTTGATCCTGGTCTGCCTTCAATAATCGCCTTCAGTGGTTCAATAGTTTGATCTGCTTTACAGTTATGCCCCCATCCCCCTGCCCCGGTTATATAACACGCCTGTTGTACGTGACTTTTGGTTCCTAAAATTTGTCTTCGTGTTCAACTTTGTAGATTGCTGTGTCTAGTTCTTCAGTCATTTCCCGTAATGCAATGAATTTGGGGAGATAAAAGCATAAACCATCACTGGAGAAAATCATGAACTCTCCTATAAATTATTATTACCGTAGTCATCTTCTTGGTTCTTTCGGTAAAGTCATGTAGAAAGGAAATAATAAAATAATAAAAATAAAACATAATAAAAAATTCTCACGACGTTTCGGCCACAACGCAAGCAGCCGTCCTCAGGTGAAGAACAGGTCTGTCGAGAAGACAGAGAACCAAGAAGATGAATCCCTGCAGTCACGAAAGCTTTAAATCGAAAATTACCGTAGTCGTTGTAACCAGCAGTGGCAAATATTTGCATGTAATTTATAGAAATCCTATAAAAAATGTTTTTTTAAGAACCATCACTGCGTACATGTATCGTGGGCATAAGAATCAATATTAAGCGATGCATCGATGCGTGCCTAAATGGGAATTCATGGCTACTAATTATCTGCTCGCAATTAAACGTTCATTTCGTTTACGCTCGTTCAGATGTTTATTAAATTGATGTTTGATGTGTAATCTCTTTAAGAAGCTAAATATACTTTTTTTTCAAATCATGAAGATCGCGATGGCTTGATAATGCGCGTGCGGGCAAGGGGTCTGCCCACCGCAAGTTTGGCATCGTGCCCAAAGATCCAGCGTTCGTTCTGAGTCGTCGCCTGAGTCGTTCCCTGGCAATCGAGATGACCTTTAAATAATTTTGGGAACCTACCCATAGTTTGCCATATATTGCGCATAAGCAAACACGACTTGCCTTAAGTGAAATAAAATAAAAATTCCAGTGAAAATGTGAGATAATGCAGAACGAAAAGTGCGCAGCTGATGTCTGTTAATAATGTGACATGTGGCTCGCAGTGTTATTCACCTCGTGCATTATGCAGTCTGCTCGAAGGAGATATGTAAATTGGAAGCATAATTACACAATGGGGGGAAAAAAGAATGACGACGTTTTAAAAAAAAAAGTACGGTACCTTGAAATGACCAGCACACAGGATAGGTTACTATATTTGTAACTAAAACGCCGTGGCACAGCGGTGCAACTGCACCAGGGTCCACGTTCCAGAGGGGCACGGGCGATGGGCTACGAAGAGAGGGGGCCAAATTGGACGGTGATCCCCTCATTTCATTTCTTCCACCACGGCCCACGCCAATCCACGTAGTTTTTTGCGGTTGTGCTCTACTGAATAGGCCTCCAATTTTTTTTTTTGAGCCGTATCGCGTGCTGTTCGCCACGAAGTCCGACGTTTCGCACCGCGCGCCCGGGAGCTTTCTTCGGGAAATGGGATTTTCCCCGCCGTGGTTCTCGCCGCCAGGACGCTGCTGGGGAAGGTGGCGCGCGTGACGGCGGAGGATTTGCGGCGCGTTGGCCGCGAGTATTTCACGCGGCTGTTCGACCCGGCTCACTCGCGGTGCGCCGTGGTGTGCAGCCCAGCCAAGGTCGAAGAGATCAGCCAGGGCTTCAGAGGGTGAGTGCTGAGGCACACCGCTAATGCGTTGAGGAGGAAACTGGGCGCGCGTTCGGGCCGCGCTGCGTTCATTCTAAATACGCTCTTGGTTGTGGCGCGCATTCGAAAAAATTAGGTGCGTGGAATGGTTTTGTGTTGTGCTTCGAGATGATGTTGTGTGTGATGACACGTGACACGATGTTCCGTTGTGTAATGTGTGACATTCCTGGCAGTGAATGAGGGAGTACGCGGTGTCGTGGTGAATGCACTGCGCTAATGAACCCAGCTACCAGCTTCATAATATCACTTGCCATTGATTTCCAAACTTATCCTGGGCCTCCCCTTGGTCTACCCAGCTGTAAATGATTACCTGGTGCATTGTGTTAACATCAGCACTGGAGAGACAAAGGTGGCTGGGGCATGGTTTTAGACACACCCCAACCTCTGGTGTGTTGTGCCGGCATTCATAGGCACTCGCCAACAGTACTTTTCCCAACAGCTTGTATAGGATATACAGGCTATCCTTGGCTTACATTCGTTTTATTTCTTATTTTTGTTCATGCATGATTTGACATTTGCATTACAGCTATAGGTTACTTGTCGTTTTATACTTGGTGAATTTTTTTTTACATTGCCTCCTGTAGTTTATTGTCCGTATGATTGTTTCTTCCCCCCACAGGCTGGGGAGAGAGCTGACAATCTGGTCATCTCTGGAAGACAACTTCCCTTGAGTGAATACATGAAAATATGTTCGTGATAAACAATACGGTAAAATCTTGATTTGAAACCGAAGAATATGATATTTTCACAGTTATAAATGTTTTTCTGAACAATGACATTTTTGATTAAAATGGGCGCATGGATTTAGCTGGGGAAAATGGCACAATTAAAAAAAAGGTAAAAAAAATTCAAGTTTCAGTGTTACAATCTTCCCTCGTGGCATTGGATATTTTAGGAATGAGCAAAAAAAATAACTTTCCAAAAACAAATTCAACCATCATCGTCGTAACTAAATCATATTGTCATGATGTGACCAAACAATATCTTCACCAAGGGTGACCCAGGGAAATCTGCAATAAAAGGGACCGTTAATTCGTTTTATTAAAGTTCATCTTAAAGTAGTGCATCATGACGATGACACCATTTGCAATTATTTGACAGGGTCAGTAATGTCCACCGTGCGACAGTCCCCACACTCTTGGCGAATATGCCTTGCAACGTTATCCGAGGGGGTTTAATGGGTCCTACTCCCCTGATATTTAAGGAGTTTCGATTTAAAGCTTTCGTGACTGCAGGGATTCATATTCTTGGTTCTTTTGGGTGTGATGATTGCTTGTGTTGCAATCGAAACGTCGTGAGAATTTTATTGTTTTCTTTTTTATTATTTCCCTTCTTCGTGACTTTACCGAAAGAACCAAGAATATTTAAGGAGTTATCAAGGTGTAAGTTACTAAGTCGGTGTGCGGTCTCTGCCATTTACTCTTGAACTTGTGGAGTTGTACCGTTAACCGGATTACCCTTGTCTTATAATTAGCATTCAAAAAAATAACTTAATCTTGACAACATGAAAAGTGTTACGCATTTTCCCTTGGCAATTTTGTGGAAAGTTATTGTCTATTGGTCATAGACTTGACATTTAATTTGGCGATTACAAATTTAACGTTATCAAGGAATATATTACTGATGTAACCACCCTTAGGTTTTTTTTTTTTTCAAATTATAAATGAGTCAATCTTCTTCAATGAAGGAATTGCATTTTTGATGTAGAAAATGAAGGAGCAATCTTTGCCATCAATAACACTACCTGTTATTTAATTGGTAACTTATGTTTTAACTATAGATGACCATGGCGCAATATTTAACATCAAATTAATGTTTTTGTCATGAAGTGGTCGATATGATTAACTGTGGCCTAAATTTCAATTGTGCACCGTCAGTCTTAATTTTTCAAAATGCCAACCGAATTGAAACTAATTTTTCCATTTTTGGTATGAACGGTTTTTGATACCACATGCATTAATCCATCTCCATGTTATAGTCATCGATTTAACTTCAGCTGCTGTGATTCATTCTCTGGCATGTTTTATTGTTTTGTTAAAAACGTTCTTCTGTTGTTTGTCATCGATACATTTATGCATGTACCCAGTTGCCTAATAAACATCGAAAGAAAATCTTTTGTGTATTTTTGTTTGTTTTGCGATTGGGATATTCAGGGGTAATTAATGCAATGAGATGTCCTATAATAATGGCTCTGTGCTATTACGCTTCTTCAGAGTATTAGGAGAGGTAAAAAAAAGGCTACTTATGGGAAGCCATGGCATTCATATTCACAATCGTGGTTTGGTTACGCTTAATGTAATACATAACATGAAAAAATATGTTTGGAATACGTGGACATTTGTTTAATTACGACGCTTTATCAACCACCACACGCATTTATACAATAATTCACACAAATCATCACCTGTATTTATCCAACACCAGTAATTTTAAATTAAATATAAATTACACAACCAGGTTCTCATGGCATAGGTGTATGTGCATATCTCTTAATGATAGTGTTATCAAGTTATTTGAAGAAGAAATATAACTTAGTTAAAAAATTTAACAAGCTATACTTAAATAGGTTATCTGCTTTGACGCTATTAGCTGGGTTGGTGTTTACGCGCTGCGTGCGATGGTCGAGCTGAATTTCCTGCAACGATTCTACACGGTTCCATCTTGCCCCGTGAGTCGCACGCCCGCGGCTCAGCTGTGATAATTCTGGTGTATCTCGGGCTTGATGTCACTGATGATGGCGAGCAGCTGCTTTAGAACCATCTCCTTGTTGGTCTGGTAGTTCCCGCGCACGGTTTGGATGCGGGTCCGCGTGTCCTCATCGATCTTGGTCGACATGTTACCTTGCGAACCCATTATCTGCAAGCGGAAGGGGAGAACACCCTCGATCAGAACGTCTCGCCACTTCGACCTGACGCTATGATTGCGAGTGTCATGTACAGCCGTATCCAGCGGCGTTGTAACTTGACGTGCGTTATCTCGGGCGCACGGGGAGTGTTCGTGCATCACTTTGTCCCCGAGGGGATGCGATGCTCGATTGAGCTATTTTTCCTACATTCCATAACGTGCGAGCATCATCAAAACCAACATGTTGTGCTCACTCCATTGCCATTACTGCATTTTCAAGCGCTGACGAAAGTGCTGAAGCTGCCATGGAATGGCAATTTGAGTTACGTCAGAAATTTTGTAAGGGTGGAAAAAAAACCTAATGGGTAACAATAATGCGGGCCATTACATTTAAACATCTGCCAAAGCCACGCGGCTCAGGATACTTACGGAGTCCTGTTTCTTGCGGAATTCGTTCTCGCGCTGGAGCCGGTACTGATCGATCTCTGCCTGAGCCTCCTCCTTGGCTTGTTTTAGACGGCGTGTCTTGCCTGCATGGCCAAACAAAGTAAGAAATGTGTCATCGCAACGAAATGTGGGGGGGGGGGGGGAGTTTGTGTCTGCAGTGCGCACTTCCCCAAAGGGGCACTGAAAGGATCCGGGTGGGGCACGGGCATAAATGGGTAAAATACATTCACATTACAAATTACTCGAGTCAATGTAACAACATTTTGTTGTGGTATTGCATTGGCAGTGGTGCACAAGTACGAATGACAAAAATTCTACATTCAATATTTCTGCCCTTAAGGAGAAATGAATATGGATTTTGATGACTTTTTCGGGCAATGGTCCTTTTTCAGAGCAGAGGACTATTGGCCGAATTGTCATCTATCATAGATGTTTTTTTTTACATTTAGAGAAGTGTTATTGACGATTTAATTTCCAATTATCGTTAACTATGTATCGTGTAATTCGAATATAGATGGCGCATTAATTTGTGGTGTATAATTAGATACGGATTACAAATTAACGTCGTGAAATTGCACGTTTCAATTAAGGGAAGTGTCGAAACCCACTGTCTGAAGCTCCGTCTGTGGCAGCAAAGTCCACTGTTGTACTGTACTCTAATACTCGCCACTGATGTTAGCCGTGGCCGGGAAGCTCACTTAGAGGATGCTGGATTCATGGCACAGGGTCACCCACCGATTCTGCAATCCTTTAACGTTACGGTGCAATGAACTACAGAATTACCATGGTCGCTAACTCGGGTACAATTCCACATTGAAGTGAATGATTTACACTTGTGCATTCTGTTGCGAGATAATATTACGTGACGGGCCATATAGTTTCCAGTGTGAGAGGAGGGTAGTCATACATGGGCGCATTGACGTGAGTGCAAATGTAACATTTTAGCCACAATGAGAAAAACAATTAAGTGCATAACTCAATACTGCATTAATACTGGTAGGAACCGCCTGGTGACACCAGCATACAGGGGATTATTGTGTCCATCCGTCGTACAGGGAGGGGCTGGGTGGGGAGGGAGGGACTGGGTGGGGAGGGGAGGATGGGGAGGGGCTGGGTGAGGAGGGTGGGGCTGGGTGGGGAGGGGCTTGGTGGGGAGGGTGGGGAGGGGCTGGATAGGGAGGGTGGGGCTGGGTTGGAGGAGTGAGGCTGGGTGGGAAGGGGCTGGTTGGGGGGTGGGAGGGTGGGGCTGGGTGGGGAGGGGCTGGTCACCCCGTGGTGCCCTCATAAAACTCAACGTTAAACTACTCACGCCGGCTTGTGCCCGTCCTCACAGTCGGCCATATTTGCGGAATACACCACGCCGCCGTTGACCCTGGCCATTGACCGAGCAACCCAACATTCCTACCAGCTCCCTCCGCAGGAATGTGTTACAACAACAGGGGTGGAGCAGTGACCCAGTGGTCAGCACACTGCGTTACGAACCTGGTCACCTGAGTTCTATTCCCGGGCACGGCTAACATCAGTGGCAAAGTGATCATCTGAACCTGTCCTCGGGGCAATATTTCGCCAATCCGCGCTGCTGCTCACAGTGGTGAAGTATGGTCAAAACCCCCCGCTAATGACTGACATGGCATGGGAATGCCTTCATCCCAAGTGGACTGGCAAAGGAATGCACATCGTCACGTAACATCGAACCGACTGTGCACCGTCTTGCTGTGTTAAAGTATATTTCACTAATAGGGGCACCTATTTTCCTCTAAATGACTGGGTCAAACATGTGTCGAAAATCTACACGGATAACGTAATAATACATTAAACATTTTAACACGTATCGTTTCGCATTAAAAATGCATTAGCAGTATATGGCGAATTAATAACAGGCATGTTAACATGTAACTAAATGTACACAAGGTGGGCATTGAATCTCAGCCAATTTATATTTCGTCAAGTTCGACAATTTTAATAAACAGAACCTGTCTAATTTTCTGGTAAATTACAGAAGCAAATGTGTTGCTAATGGGAATGTTTTCATGAACCTTTTTTCCTGAAACCTTAAATCTAAACATGTATTTACCCACGAGAGAGATCCTCTTGCAAACGCAAATTAAACATATATGACTTTTTTGTTAATTATATATGATGTAATGTATAATTAAGTCTACGAAGTAACACTTCATTAGTAGAGGATTGATATCTCGATCAGCCCACTCTTATATCGCATTTCGAGATTTTCAGAAACTGTGCGATGCAATTCGACACTGCTTATAGATGATGATAGGCAACAGGAGAACAATGTTTCGATTTAAAGCTTTCGTGACTGCAGGGATTCATATTCTTGGTTCTTTCGGTAAAGTCACGTAGAAGGGAAATAGTAAAACAATAAAAAATAAAACAATAAGAAAATAAAAGAATGATAAAATATTTTTTTTTTAATATTTATTGTATTATTTCCCTTCTACGTGACTTTACCGAAAGAACCAAGAATACGATAACAATGATCCCAGAAAAGAAACAGACAGTAAAATATAGTGGTCGAACCTGAGAGTGTAACACAGTGTACGCGATCTTCACGCGTGTGTTTAATTAACATGTTAATCGATACATTCAGAATCAGAACATTTATTTCGACTGGAGGTGGAATCCGATGAGCTATGAAGTTCTTTTTTTTCCACAGATGTCGAGTTGGGGCGGGTTAGCGTGTTACATCAACAAGCAGTACAAAAACAACTATATACAAGTGCAAAATAGCGAGAAAGCTAAGCAAACCGCTCAAGTAAACCATCAATATAAAACCTGGAAGTACGAAAAGGAGCGTACATTAAGTCCTGCCGATTTGTCAACACCAAATGCAAGCGTGGGCAAAGCAGCAAACCAATACCACAGTCCGAGACCACGGCATTCAACATTGCTGATTGTAGCCTGCTCGGAGACGAGGGTGAGCTCGTGCATCCACTAGCCCCAAAGATCCAAGCACGACGATGAGACGAAATTAACCACTCTCGTCTGAATGGAAACGCAAACTAAGATTATTTTAATTCTAGATTTGAAGCTTTCGTGACTGCAAGGATTCATATTCTTAGGTTTTTTCGGTAAAGTCACGTAGGTAAAACATCAAAATTAATTAAAATAAAATAAAAATATTCTTTTTATTTTATTAATTTTGATGTTTTACCTACGTGACTTTACCGAAAAAACCTAAGAATATAAGATTATTTAGTGAGCGCTATTTGACGTTGCAGTGCCACCAGGAAGGAAGTACTGAACATTACACATTTACCGAGTTCCCAGATTGGCTGATCTGACATATATATGCAGAACCGGCCCTAGACCTTTGTGGCCCTAAGCAAAATTTGGTTGGAGGCTCCTTTGATGTATGATTTTTTTCACCCACTAGCTAGCAGTGACTCTAGGGGGCCCTCTGCTGGCCACGGGGCCCTTTGCAATTGCAAGGGTCGCTTAGTGGCTGGGCCAGCTCTGTATATATGTGTACCATCTGAAATGTTGCCTGTTGTATATATAATTTCCTTATGGGGGTAGTGATGTTGACCAATGTGTCGACCTTTTAACGTTTGTTATTTCTGCTTCTCTATCTCTGCATGCCAACGCAGCAGCATCGTTAAATACGTTGATATTGCTGGGTTCAGAGAAATCGCACACCACTCACACCAGCATTTCCTAAGTACTGACTGCTTCAGTAGATTAGGCAATGAAAACGATTAAATAAAATCCACGCACTCCGACTCGACTGGAATTCCCCACGTTTGTCGTCCACTCGAATAATTAATGTCGTCAAAATTGGCACTGCTATTGTGCCAAAATCCATTGCCCATCTCATTACAAAGACAAATGACCCCCCCCCCCCATAGCCTTAACAGACTGTTGGGGCAAGTGCAATTAGCGAGCAACCAATGAAGGCCGACACGGCACACGAGGCGGTGGGTGGCCAGCACCACGCCCGGCCGCCTTCTATATATTTTTATTATGTTTTATTTTTATTATTTTATTACTTCCCTTCTACGTGACTTTACCGAAAGAACCAAGAAGATGAATCCCTGCAGTCACGAAAGCTTTAAATCGAAATCTGTGTTATTGATAGGCTTAGGCTTGTCAGCAAGCAAAGTGGTTCAGATCGGCAGTAGGATTTGGTTCGTGGATTTCGCTAGGAATTGTCATTGATGATTAGGGGATAGCGCTTAACGTTCACGTCGGATGTTAGGCGCACAGCAACTTGATTAGATTAATAGCGAAAGCTTGATGCAATCACCTCCTTATTCTGGGTTCATGGAATTAAAAAAACGTGACAAAAAAACATTTAATATAAAGTCTGAACATCACCAGGTAGAAGTTTTCAAGGCCAAACCTGTGAGCCGTATCTCGTCAGCTGTTGCTGTGATTGGAGCGAGTGGATCATAGGTTCTGAGTAGTGCCGTCAAAATCAGCCCATCTTTCCTTCCTGGGTCGATAAAATTAACCACCACTTTGTGGCAAATCAACATCATTGGTGCTGAGGACACACTGCCCCCGTCGTGGGAGTGTGGAATTTCTGCTTCCTGTCTGCCTGGGGTCCTCAAGGAAGACTACCACGAGCCAATGGCCCTTTGAGTAAAGGGGTTTTTGGCTAAATCTAAAACCACGTTTGTGTAAAAAAACAAAAGTGCATATCTTGCAATGTCTTGCTCATGCCACTGCTGACTGAAGGTCCTCCACTAGGCAGAGCTCTGGAGAGCTCGGCTTAGAAAGCATATTGGCCTAAATTTCGATTTAAAGCTTTCGTGACTGCAGGGATTCATCTTCTTGGTTCTTTCGGTAAAGTCACGTAGAAGGGAAATAATAAAAATAGAACATAATAAAATAATTCTCACGACGTTTCGGCCACAACGCAAACAGCCGTCATCAGGTGAAGAACAGACCTGTTCTTATTTTATTATGTTTTATTTTTATTATTTTATTATTTCCCTTCTACGTGACTTTACCGAAAGAACCAAGAATAAATATTGGCCTACTTTTCCACACTGGCCTAGACGTCCCAAAGAGGTGGGAGTTCGCCGTTCTTCGCCCCGCCAATACGCGACTCGGCGGTCGA